CGAGTGGCCGGTAGACAGAGGAGTGGGCTGTGGCGAGGACCACATGAAGTGGAAGCGCTGAAGGACCTGCTGCACCATATATGACTGAGTGAGGGTAATGGTGCGCCGTGCTCTGTCCCGGGTGATCTGCAAGCCAAGATAGCTCCGCAGCTCACCCAGGTCAGTGCAGGTGTGTCTCTCCTGTAGCTCCGCCTTCACTAGGGTCAGTGCCTCAGTGTCAGCAGTAGCAAAAACCAAGTCATCGTCATACACGAGGATGTAGAACAGCGGCAGAGTAGTGTCGGTGCGTAGAAACAGCGACGGGTTAGCGGTCGAAGGAGCAAACACAAGAGCCACAAGTGTCGTCCTCAGTGTGTCGTGCCACTCACAGGGCGGCTGATGCACGCCGTACACTGGTCGCCGTAGGATCCACTTGGTACCAGGAGGAAGCGACCCAATGAAGCCCTGTGGACAGTGTAACCAGATGGCCTCGTGAAGGCTACCCTGCAAGAAAGCTGTCGAGAAGTCGAGGGAGTGCAGCTCGTAGTCAAGCTGAGCTGCAACGTGTAGCAACACTCGAAGAGTGGTTATCTTTGGGGTGGGGGAGAAGGTCTGAAAAAGTCCACCCCCTCACGTTGACTGAAGCCTCGAGCAACGTAACGTGCCTTGAAGGCAGGCGGAGAACATGGCGGCCGCTTCACCCTGAAAATCCACATGCCACTAACAATGTTCGCCCCCAGGTGGGGGAACCTCGTCGACGTAGGTGCCTGTGGACTTCCATGAAGCCATCTCTGCATCCATGGCTGTCTGCCACTTAGAGGAGTACTCACCCGAAATCGCCTCCCTGTAGGAGCGCGGGGTGGGGATGTCAAGTGCATCCGGGTCTCCCTCAGGGGCAAGCAGCATGGTCGCGTGATGGGGTGAAGCGACAGCAAGGCACTCCAACTCCTCCCGTCTGTCCTCAAGAAAGTTACAACCAAGGGCAGTACAGCCAAGAGCAGTCTCAACCCCAACGAACGGAGGACAGGCAGGGACAGGGTCAAAGACAAGACTCGCAAGGTAGTCTAGGCGGTACACAGCAGCAAAGTCAACGAGCTCAGCTACTAGGGCAGACGCAGCAGGAGACGAGAACGTAGGGTCCGTCACAACCCTAGCAAGAAGGCGAGTAACAGTCGGACTGGACGCACGAGCAAGGTCAGACGGAGGATCAGCAACGTCAAGGAGAGAGGACGCAGGAGGTAACGGTATTACAATACGCTGAGGAACAGAGGAAGGACAGAGTGTCATATCGTGAGTGCCGGGGACAGTCGGAGCACGCGGACGACGAACACGAGGAACACGAGTACGTACAGCAGCTCTAGGCTCAAGCTCAAGGTCAAAGCTAGACTCAGGCTCTCGACGCTCAAGGGTGGAGCACGAGTCTCAGGCTCTCGACGCTCAGTCAAGGACTCTGACACCGCAGTGTAAGGAGCAGGAGTACCAGTAGTACCTCAAGTACCTCCTGTGCCAGCAGCTCCAGTAGCACCTCCTGCACCTCCAGCACCAGTAGTACCACCTGCTCCGGCACCTCCAGCACCTCTAGTACGAGCACCTCCAGGACCAGTAGCTCCAGCACCTCCATTACCTCCAGCTCCAACGTCTCTAGCAGTACCAGCACCTCCAGGGTCAGCAGCTCCCGGAGCTCGAGCACCAGTAGCACCAGCTGTCAGAGGTCCACTGGTGATCCTCGATTGATCCTAGGGAAGGGTTACACGCTCGTTGTCCTGGGGGGTTATGGGCGCACTGACCCGCTTCTTAACAGGCCCTTTTATCCTAGTGGTTAGTGGCTGGGATTCTGCCATGTTATCATAGCGAAGGTCTCACGTTCAAATCCCAGTGAGTGCACTTCGGGCATCCCAGTGCGGGGGGGTGTCAGAGGTCCACTGGTGATCCCCGATTGATCCTAGGGAAGGGTTACAGGCTCGTTGTCCTGGGGGGTTATGGGCGCACTGACCCGCTAGTTAAGAAGCCCTTTTATCCCAGTGGTTAGTGGCTGGGATTCTGGCACCACCACCTCCAGTGCCACCAGCTCCAGTACCTCCAGCACCGGCAGTAGCTCCAGCACCAGCAGCACCTCCTAGACTAGTAGCTCCAGCACCAGCAGTACCTTACCCTCCACCACCAGGACTGCCTCGCAGAACGACCCACACACGAATCGCCTATGGCGAGAGCGTCTCAAGTAGAGCAGGCTGCGGTGGCTGTCCAGCTCCAGTAGTAGCTATAGCACCTCCAGCACCAGAAGCACCTCTAGTACCTCCAGCTCCAGCACCTCCAGCACCAGCAGCAGCTCCAGTACCTCAAGCACCAGTAGTACCTCTAGTACCTCCAGTAGGACCTCCAGCACCCCCAGAGTCAGCACCCAAAGTCTCAGTACCCTCAGTCCCATCACCCTCAAGCTCAGCACCCTCAGTCCCAGCACCCTCAGTCTCAGCACCCTCAGGCTCAGTACCCTCGGTCCCAGCACCCTCTGTCCCAGCACCCTCAGGCTCAGTACCCTCAATCCCAGCACCCTCAGTCCCAGCACCCTCAGTCTCTACTCCTGTGTCCATAGCAGTAGGCTGCAAAGGTGACGAAGACGGCAGAGGTGGGAACCCCGGGGGGGTAGCCAGACGAGGAGAGCGGGCACCCCAAGACTCACCACCCCCAGCCCCAGCTCAAGTAGTCTCAGCTCCAGAGTGCACAGCAGCAGGCTGCGGAGGCGGCGAAGATGGGCGTGGCAGGAAACCCGGGGGGGTCGCCAAGCGAGGAGTATGGCGAGTGGTCGCCGTGTCGTCGGCGACGGCGTCACCCCCCTCAGGTGAGTCAGAGGAGTCAGAAGAGATCTCAACTGGCTCATCCAAGGGGGGTGGGTCTACCTGGGACACACCTGAGGGAGCAGAACCCTGTGGGGGGAGGGGATCTACCGGGGGGGAACTGGTACCAGGAAGAGGGGTGCAAGGGGGACCGGGTGGGACGCGTGCGGGTGAAGTCGGTAGTAACAGACCGACTCGTCGAAGGTGACGTCCTGAGAGGACAGAACATGACGCAAGGCAGGGTGGTAGAACTGCCAGGATGGAGCGTCGGTGGGGAAGCCCAGGAAGACACAGCGGAGAGTGCGCGGAGAGAGCTTGCTCGCTTTGGTATCGCAAACAAGGGAGAGCGCGCCCCAGACCCGAAACGATGACACATCACCAGGCTGTCCCGTCCAACGAAGTGTGGGCGAGGTCTCTGGAGCAGAGACACGGGATCAGAGGGAGCTGATGCGTAGCGTATCGGGCTGCAAACGGCCACAGGAAATGGGGAGCAGCCGCATGGGTCATGGAGGTACAAGCAACCTCCATGATCAGGCCAATGCAACGCTCAACGATCCCATTTTGCTGTAGAGAGGCCGGAAGCGTGAACGACTTGGCGATGTCCTCATCCTGGCAAAACATCTCAAGGATGCCAGAAGAGAACTCACCACCCGTGTCAGAGTGCAGACACATGACTGGGAAGTCCTGCTGAAAGCGCTCGTGTAGCTGGAAACGAGTAGCACGGATCCAGGGGATCAAAACACCGCTGACGTCCTCCTTGCGACGCAAGGGGAAGACTGTGATGTAGCGTATGTATTCGTCAACAACCAGTAGGAAGTAGCGCTTCTGGCCCGTCCCACCGACGGGGGCCGGGCCCCACACGTCCAGGTGAAGAGTCTGCAGAGGAGCAGTGGTCGGAGGAAACTCGGAGGAGTGAGGAGCGGCGCGCTGCCGCCCCTCGACGCAAGGAAGGCACGGCGGCGCAAGTGAGCGCGGGAGGGGGGGCAGGGTCTTAGGGAGGCCAGAGACCAAGAGCTGGGAGTGCATGCCGCGCAGACACTGCAGGGAGGGGTGACCAAGACTGTGGTGCCAGCGCTTAGTCTCGTACGTGAGTACTCTGCACGAGCAAGACGCAGCTAACTGCCTTGACGCACACGCTCGACTCAACGCAGCCACCTGACCTCACTCAGCCACCTGTGCAGACGCAGTGGTCAGTGTGTACAGACTAGACCCAGGCTGTCGACTGAACGTAGCCAAGTGACAACCAGTCCGGGAGCACGTACAGATTGCCACACGCTGCCCTCCAGGAATAAAGGTATCAACCCAGACATCCTGAATGGCAGCGTTGCTTACCAAGTTCGTCGAGAACGTGGGGAGGTGGAGACCTCACAAAGAGCCGGAGGGGACTGCTAGACAAGGGAGGACTGTGGAGGCTCTCGCAACCACTGGGCCCCCAGAGGGGTCAGCTAGTGAGACTGGGACAGGTGCTGTGAGTGGTGTGACTGTGGTGCAATCACGAAAGAAGCAACGTGAGACGCCTGAGTCAAGCGTGAAAGTGTGCAAGACCTCATCTGAGGCAGGACCTGTGGTAGTAGATGCACTAGCACCTAGAGCGTCGGTAGACACACGGGCACCTAGAGCTGCAGCAGACTCACCAGCACCTAGAGCAGTAGTCCTAACAGAATGATAACCTCCACCACCAGGACGACCTCGCTGAATAACAAACTTACGAGGCTGCCGAGGGGTGGGGTCGTCCGGGAGAAGCAGTGCCCGCTGCAGTCCACCCCTGGTCGCAGCAACTGCCGTGGAAGTGGCCATGACAGACAGTGACGGTGAGGAGTAGGTCCAGCACCTCCAGCTCCTACAGCGCCATTAGCACCTCCTGCACTCCCAGCAGCACCTCCACCACTCCCAGTAGCACGTGTAGCAGCAGCAGCCGTAGTAACAGCAGCAAAACGACACACAACCAGAGCAGGGCGGCGCGCGGCCACAGCAGGGCAGTAGTAGGCAGTAGCTCCTAGGGCAGAAGCACCTAGAGCTCTTGATGTTTTTTTTGTAATAAACAATTTAATTATATCTAGGGTATAGCAGGGCGCAAGCGCAGGGCAGGGCGCTGGCGCAGGGCAGGGCGCGGGCGCAGGGCAGGGCGCTGGCGCAGGCTGCAGCAGTGTGTGACGCGAGGGGCAGCAGAGCGCAACGCGTCAGGCTGCCTTAGGGCGCGACGCGCGAGCTGCAACAGAGCGCAACGCTCGGCTCAGCAGGTCTGCGCGCGAGCTGTAGGGGCGGCGTGAACGGGCCGCAGAGGCGGCGCACGGGCTCCAGGGGCGACGCGCGGGCTGCAGGGGCCGCGCGGACGGGCTGCAGAGGCGACGCGTGGCTCGGTAGGTCTGCGCGCAGGGTGCAGGGGCAGCGTGAACGGGCTGCAGGGGCAGCGTGAACGGGCTGCAGGGGGAGCGTGAACGGGCTGCAGGGGCAGCGTGAACGGGCTGCAGGGGCAGCGTGAACGGGCTGCAGGGGCGACGTACGGGCTGCAGGAGCAACGTACGGGCTGCAGGGGCAGCGCGCGGGCCACAGGGGCAGGCACGGCTGCAGGGGCAGCACGGTAGCAGGGGCGAGCACGGCTGCAGGGGCGAGCACGGCTGCAGGGGCAGCGCGGTCGTAGGGGCGAGCACGGCTGCAGGGGCAGCGCGGTCGGAGGGGCAGCGCACGGGCTGCAAGGGTCGCGACAGTGAGAGCTAGGGGCCCCAGCGCGCTGGCTACTATGTAGGGCATGGCGCTACCACTAGGCGGAACGGTGGGCCAATGTAGGAACGGTTCCTACTCCGATAACATGTGAAGAAGAGAACTAGGAATGAATGATTGAACTAGGCAAGAGGTGAGTACAAGTAGGGGAAACCTAACCCTAAAGTGTACTCAGTAAGGAAAGGAGTGACCCTACTGTAGCTTAGAGATACAATTGTAATCTGACAGATACACGCTACTATACTACTTGCCCAGACCAGCCCGCTACTGACAGAACTATTTACCCATGGTTATCAGATAGACCCGTTCTTTACCGGTGGCAACTCGCAGCAGTTTGCAGCAGCAATGTGTTCTGCGATCACTGTTACGAATATGACATATCCCACAATCCGCATCATCCTTCAACGCAACTCATCTCCACTGGAAGTTAAGGTTACGTAGGGCATAGGCGAACACACAAAAAAAGAGGCAGGAGAAGCCGAGCAGAGCGGCATTGACGTAGCCGAGCTAGTCATGGGAGAAGCCGTAGAAGAGCTGGATGAACTACGATACTGTCTGAGGTGGCATGCCTGGTGGACTCACCACCAGTGTTGAAACATCTCCCAACTGTAAAGCAACCAGAGGTGAAACAAGGAACAAGTGGAGAGAAGTTTGGAATGGTACCAGGAGCAGGCGGTAGGGGGAGTGGGAGGAGTGAACATACTAGCGGTAAGGCTAGTCAATCATGAGTTACTTTACCCCTTAATTGTGAATTCCCTGCACTCATTTCCCACGCTCCGTGCGCTATAATTAGGAGTGCAGTGGAAAGTAAGATACGGAACTGAACACCCGCGTATATAATCTGATACACGAACGCGCAAGTAGGGGTTGCGGGACTGGTTCGCGATGGGTCTACCTGAGAAGCTGAGAGGCCGTAGAGAGACCATGCGAGTGGGTTGATCCAGTAAAGCCATTTCCAGTAAACAGGAATTTCCTGTTGAATATGGGGGAAATGAGCAAAGGGGTTGATGCAATAAGGGAGAAGAAGAGGCGCGCGTCGTTGTAGTCAGGCATTCGCCAGTACATGCGGTGCCGTTGTAGTCGGGCATGCGCCAGTACATGCGGTGCCGTTGTAGTCGGGCATGCGCCAGTACATGCGGTGCCGCTTCCACAGGTTCGTTGTGAACTGGGAGAGCAGCGTTGTGGGGTGCTGCGTTGGGAAGAACATGTCCGGAGCGCCTTTGAGAGGCACACTGCATTCATGGATGAGTGAGTGAAGGGACCTGTGGGTGCCGGGGGGGGTAAGGGGGGGCAAAGCATGTAGATTTGTTGATCAGGGAGAGTACATAGCTGTATGAGGGGGAGCGGAGAGGACGCAAGGAGGCGAGGAGGCACGCTGGCGATGCCCTCAATGGGTGATTTTTCCAGACCTGTGGACGTGAGGGCTACGGGAAGGACATGGAATAATGAGGTACGGGGGTGAGCATGTTAAGGAGAGGGGAGGAGACAGGAGGAGAGGAGGCGAGTGAGGCACACTGGATTCCTGAATGGCCAACAATACGGACCTGTGGGCATGGGGGATAAGGGAATGGAGAGTGAATTTGGGAGAAGGGGGTACGGGTATTGGAGAAGGGGAGAACGATGTTGTTTCACCTTTTTTTTTCCGGAAAATACCTGGTTGAATCAGAGAGGCTATGCGTCTAACGGAAAGGAAGGGATAAGAAGACAGGAAGGAAGGGTGGGGAGAGATGGGGAGGGGTTGGGATTGCAGGGTAGGTTTTAAGAAGGTGTGTGAGAAATTGGAAGGGTGTGTGAGGGTTACTGAGTTGGAAGAAGAGGCAAGGCTTGCTGTTTTGAGCTTTTGTTGTTCTCACCTGAACTGGATTGACTGACAAACCAGAAGTTTTGAACCCCTGCTGCTCTCGCCTGTCCCTGTGGCTCTGTTATTCTCACCTGAACTGCTCTGACTGGCGGAACAGGTGGACAAAGTCGACTCCAAGCCTCTCTGCTGCTGCTGGCGCCGTGACCTCCAGCATCCACACTGCAGGGTTGGCGCCAGGCTGAATGGGGCACCCCTGGGATGGACTGCACGCATGTGGGGGGGGATCATGAGGAGAGAAGGGGGATGGCATTGCATCAAAGATGGATGGTGGATGGAAGGGAAGTGGGTAAGTGCAGAAGGTGAGGGAGAAGAACAGGTAAGCCATGAAAAGAAGATGGCTTAGTGTTCCGATCCAATCCCGTACCAATGGCTCCAGCCGAAATTCCTGTCACGTGCTGGTATGTTGGAATAGACCCTGCTTGAAGTCTATTTGGTATGGTTCTTTATTATGAATAAGTATTTGCATATTGATGCTATTTTGAGTTTCTTTTGGAGAATTCGTGTTCATTGTGGCCTAGGCTAATGTCCAACGTCCTGACCCTTTGCCTAGACGCCATTGTCTAAGATGATAGACCTGTCCTTTCCAATATAGCTGTGCCCTACCTTGATGCACAACTGCTTTCGCAGACACTTAACATATATATATATATATAGTTATATATTTATAAAAGCTCTCTACATGCTGGTATAGGGCAACGAGCCGAGCTGCTCGGACGAGCTTTTAAAAAGCTCGTGACAAGAGACGAGTCACGAGCTTGAGTTTCCCCTGAAAAAAACTAGGACGAGCTGAACTAGAGAAGGGGCAAGTTGCTGTGTGATGCTAGTCAATGTGTGGAGGTGTTGACTGCATTTCGTTACATTGTAAGCCTCATCACAGTGTATATTCACTACAACGCATATGGAATGCACTTTGCACGAATGATTTTCCTCATCAAGCACCAAAAGACGGCAGACGGCTGGTGTATGGCACACTGCTCACCACAGAATGTCCCGTGCGGTGTATGTCACACATATAGTGCATGCAGTCTTTGTGTGCTACATGCATTCATTACATTGTAGATTTTAATGGCTTACCTTGTCAAACGCCACAAACCCATCAATGGACGACTACCAGTGGATGGTATGGTGCACACGACTATGCCGCATACAGTTCTTGTGTGCATCCATACTCCATCAAACGACTCCAAGATGTGGATGGACGGCTGGTGGATGCTGCACATCACTGTGCGGCCACTCTTGACTGTGCGGCCACTCTTGACTGTGCGGCCACCCTTGACTGTGCGGCCACTCTTGACTGTGCGGCCACTCTTGACTGTGCGGCCACTCTTGACTGTGCGGCCACTCTTGACTGTGCGGCCACTCTTGACTGAGTTCTGCACCGCCCTCATCACTACGGCTGATGCCCTCGCATCCAGCCCTGCGATTGAAACACAATTGAAGGAGAGGAGAAAGAGGGATAAACGAGGTTTCCACAAGCCTAAGCGGCTGCAGAAGACCCGTGTTCACTGTGTTGTGCACCGCCTTCATCACTATGGCCGCTGCCTTTGCATCCATCCAGGCCTGCTCAGGGTGTGGGGATGCAGAGAGAGGCAAGCAGCTGACCAAATGCGAGGGCATGAAGTAAGGCGGTGACAGAAAGGGGTACCAAGGTGGGGAACAAGGTGAACCCAAACCCTTGCATCCATCCCAGCCCCTGAAGGACCGACACAAAAAAACGAGTATTTCCCACGGAATAGGTGTTATCTGATGGGCAGGTGCTGCTTGAGGGGGAGGTGTAATCTGATGCACAGCGGTTGCCTGAGGAGGTGGGCAGGCAATGCTCGAGGGAGAGGTGTTACCTGAGGGGGAGGTGTTACCTGAGGGGGAGGTGTTACCTGAGGGGGAGGTATTGACTGAGGGGGAGGTGGTACCTGAGGTGGGTTCATCCATGAAGATGATGGCGGGGTTGGCGACGAGCTCCACTGCGATGGTCAGCCGCTTCCTCTGCTCCACCGCCAGCCCGTCCCGCCCTGCCGTCCCCACCAGCGCGCCCTTCACCGCCTCCAGCTCCACCAGCTCCTCCACGAACGAACTCCTGCCAGTGCAGATCGGCAGGGATGAGGCAAGACGCTCCCACACACCACAGCGCCCTTCACCAGCTCTTATTCCACCAGCCCCGTCACCAGCCCCGTCACTAGCCCCGTCACTAGCCCCGACACCATTATGGCTTCTCTATCGTTATCACATCTCTCCATTGATCATTATCAATTCGTCATGATTACATCTCTCCATTCACCAAAAACACATCCCCCCCTTCACCGTAATCGCTTTTCTCGATTCACCGTATCACATCCATCCATCCACCAGTATTCACCATGACCACACCCATCCACTCGCCATGACCACTACCATCCACTCACCAGGATCACATCTCTATCGATCTCCTGGGGCAGGCGCAGCCAGGCGGAGTAGAGGAGGGACTCGTGCACGGTCACCTGGGGCGTGTGAATGTCCTCCTGCTCACAATACCCCGACACCCTCAGAAACGTCTCCAGCACTTTCGGGTACCCAGACACGCGGATATCCCCTTCTATGTACCCCCCGGTCTTCCTCCCTGCCAGCACATCCATTAGCGTGGTCTTCCCTGCCCCAGACACCCCCATCAGGGCGGTCAGCACTCCGGGACGAAACACTCCAGACACATTATGCAGCAGCTGCAGCCGCTGGTCGGGCGGCCCCGCCTTGTCTTTTAGCTCGGCGGGCATGTCAACAGAGTAGTTGACGTTGTGGAATGAGAGGGTGAGCGGGGTGAAAGGGAGAACCATGCCATGTTGCTTCACCCCGCCCACACCAGGGAGGGCACCGGGGACATCATGGGCATGAGAATCAGAAGCACAGTGCTCTTTGTGGTGCGGATCAGGGTCATGGGCATCTGCATGCACGGCAACACTGATTCTCTCTCATGCTGCGAATGCACCTCCTCCTGCTGCTGTTGTTGGTGCTACTGCTGCTGAGGATTTCCCTGCTGCTGCTGCTGCTGCTGTTATGGTTGTTCCTGCTGCTGTGGATTCTCCTGCTGCTGCTGTTCTGTATGCGGAAGAGAACAGCTTGTTTCTGCAGTTCTCTCTTTCAAGGCGGTCGTTTCCGGGCAGATTGGAGCCCGCTAGAGCAGCTTCCCGCGCGTCTAGCTGATGCTGGGAAATCACTGGCTGCGCCTTGGGCCAAGCTGGGGGGGATTGGGTGTGCGAGGGGATGAGCAGGGCGGGGAGAAGGGGTGAAGATTGGGGAGAGAAGGGGGAGAGCAAGAGAGGAGTGAGTCAGAGGGAGAAGGGAGAGAGCAAGAGAGGAGTGAGTCAGAGGGAGAAGGGAGAGAGCAAGAGAGGAGTGCGTTGTGACATCTGATTGACACTAGGAGATCACTGGCTGCGCCTTGATCCAAGGTGGAAGAGGAAGGAAGCAAGGAGGAAGCGGTGGGGTTGGATATGGCGAGGCGAAGGCAGAGAAAAGGAGTGGGGTGTGTTGGGGAGATCTGTGGCTGCTCCTTGGGCAAGGCTGCTGGCAGGGAGGTGGGTAGGGCGGGTGAGCGGATGCGGAGGATGAGGGCGAGGGAAGAGGAGAGGCCATGAGGAATGGAGGGGTGGCAAGAGGAAGGGAGGGGAGGCAACAGGAAGGGAGGGGAGGCAAGAGGAAGGGAGGGGAGGCAAGAGGAAGGGAGGGGAGGCAAAAGGAAGGGAGGGGATGCATATTGAAGGGAGGGGAGGCATATTGAAGGGAGGGGAGGCAACAAGGAAAAGAGGGGAGGCAACAGGAAGAGAGGGGAGGCAAGCAAGGAGGGGGAAGGGAGGAAAGGCAAGAAGAAGGTAGGGGAGGCAATATGAAGGGAGGCAGTAAGCACACATTGAGATATGTAAGTGCGGCACTTACGGTTGAGATATTTAAGTGCGAGGATGGTAACCGCGTTGCAGAAGAGAGTGAAGAAGACACCAATAGCAGCAGCGGCCCAGCCAGTGGCAGTGGGTCCAGAGGCTGCGCGCCTCGAGAACCTGCACTCCCATTGTCACGTTCAGTGATGGCGGCACAGAGGGCTGGCAGGAGGACGGGAGGGAAGAATTGGGAAGAAGGGATGTGAGGGAGTACGGAAGAAGGGGGGCGTGGGGGTGAGACAAGAGGAGAGGAGGAAGGAAAAGGGGGGGGAGGAGGAGGGAGAAGCAGATTGGAGCGGATAAAACGGGTGCAAAGCGAAGCGAATGGAATGAGGGAGACGGATGTGCTTGCTATCCAGAAAAACATATGTATGCAGGTAGCACACATGCCATGGTACGCACGTGCTATGACACAGCATGACACGCCACACCTGATACCCACCACATTGCATGCCATGCCGCACAACATGGCATGGCAGATTACATGCCTCATGGGGATACAGTAAACTAGGTACACTATGTGCAAGCATTGTGCTGTATCGCATATGCTATGCGCAACCAACCGTACTGTACCATAACATACCATGCTGTGCAGTACTGCTAACGCACGTACCGTATCATACCATACCCTACAGTACTGTACCGTATCGTATACATCGTACCGTACAGTACCATACAATGCCATGGCACAGCAGCACATACCACATCCCATCTGGGGGCGAGAAACTCATTGGTGGAGAAAGCGTTGAGCATGTAAGTGAGGGGTGACAGCCAGTACACCCACACCCACACGCCATGGATGTCCGCTACAGGGGCGACGGGCATGAAACAGGTGAACGAGGGTGTGCGCATGAGAGTTGGATAAGGATGGGATGAGTGGGCAGGGCAGCAGGTGAGGCGAGATCCAATACAGCCATACGCTGCAGATGCCGGCTAAGGGAGTGGGTGAAGTGAATGTGTGAAAGGGAGTGCGCGTGAGGGCATAATTGTTGGGCATGTGAGAGCACGTGTCATGTGAGAGATTTACAATGAGATGGGTATGTAGTGAGGGGCTAGATAGAAAAGGCATGCGGCAAGGGATACACTCGAGATGTGTGAGTATGAGTGAGTAGCATGCAAGGATTAACACGGGATGGGAAGATTCGCATGTTTGTCCCGTTGATCTTGATTCATGAGGCACGTGTGGGTGTACCGTGTACTACGTATGTGGTCTGATTTCCATGTGTTTGTACTTTGTAAATGAGACCTATTGTGTTTCTATTGTGAAAATAAGTTCCGTGCCTGCCTTGCTCGTGCATATCAGAGATCTCGAGCACACACTTTTGGTCATGATGAGCCCACATCGCAGAACGAAGAGCACAAGGCTGAACCTGGCAACGTGAACCCAGCTCTGACATGAAAAAGGGTTCGAGTGGGTCCGTTATGAAAAGGGTACGTGAATGCATACAGGTACCTACCCTACCCCAAGAGCGCTCACAAGCAGAGCACGTACGTTGGGTGATGATGAAGCCGGAGAGCAGGAAGAGGAGCGTGAGGATGAAGTTGTTGAGTGTGTTGACGAGCACAGTGCTGCGGAAGATGACTCCCATGGCTCGGTACAGCGCTGACGTGGCCGCGTGGGTGAGGAAGTACAGCATTAGCTGGGTGATGAAGCTGCGAGAATGGAGAGAGAGGCAGGGGAGGATGTGAGTGAGGGTGACAGGGAGGGAAGGGAGAGAGAGGTACGGGAGGATGTGAGTGAGGGTGACAGGGAGGGAAGGGAGAGAGAAGCAGGGGAGGATGTGAGTGAGGGTGACAGGGAGAAACGGCAGGAGAGGATGTGCGTCAGCCACCCCTCCCTGTCACTCTCACTCACATCTTGGAGAGAAACAGCAGCCCTTGATTCAAGAGCTGCAAGAAAGCTCTCATGCCTCTCTTTGTACAGATGGGACGAACGCAGAGGCTGCAAAAAATACCAAAAGATATGAGCAGCCTCCTACCGGGAGGACCGCACCGTACCTCGCTGAACCTACCCGGGTGAAACTCACTGGGAGAATTCGGGAGCGAAGCCGATGCCATAGTAGGTGACGTGATGGGGGTCCACACCCCAGCGGACCAGAGGGAGACGGGCTGAGAGAGCAGCGCCATGGGCACCGCCCACGCCCACGCGGGGAAGAGCAGGTTGTCCCATTGGAGGAAGAAGATGGGCAGGCGCGCCGTGAGCAGCGTGATCTCGATGAAGCCGCCGAACAGCATCGTGATTATGCCGAAGAACATCGCTCCGAGATAGTAGTTGCCGTCGAGAGGCGTGATGGTGAACTGCGAGCGCCAGAAGACTGTCATTGTGACTATAGCGAGGGGGAGGATCTGGAAAGGGAAGGGGATAAGAAAGGAGGAGACGTGACATAAGACAAGTAGGTGACAAGCGCTACCACTATGGTTGCAAGTGGATGCAGTCACATCTTACTGTACAGAACATCTAGCAAGTTGCTAGCAGCACGTGACATCTTGCTACCAGCATGTCAACATCCTGGTACCCTAAGTTGGAAGATACGCAAGCGTAAAAAACGCGGAGCGCATTTATCCCAACTTAGCTGGTACCTACGTGTAACATCTTGGTACCTGCATGGTGTGCAAACTGAAGATGAGCAGATTCCGCCAGTCACACTGACTGTAACGAGCATTTGCAACTAGTATTGGGAACGAACATCTGCACTGCCTGGATATGGTGTGCAATGCACAGAGGTACATATTTCCACCAGTTACTGTGACTGTAACGAGCATGTGCTGTACCTGCACGGTCTGCACGATGTAGAGCAGCAGGTTCTGCCTCATCAGCAGCCACTCACGGCCCGCCAGGACGGTGAGCGCCGCAAGAGGAGGAAGCACAAACCGCCGCTGTGCCAGTGCACGTGACGCACCTTCCTCCTCTTTGCCTCTGTTCCCTTCCTCTCCCCCATTGTCAACGTCTTTCCCCTGACCCTCCTCCATGTCTTTCAACTCTTTTGCCTCATCCTCTCCCTTGACCGTGATCCGATCCTTCTTGAATGGAATGGAGAGCTCTGCTTTCATCTGCTTGCCGAACCAGGAGGCTCGGAAGGCCTCCTGGAAGGCTTGGACAGACACGTAGCGGTACGGGTGGGGCTGGGATGGGTGCCAGTACTGATCCTGGTCTTTTAGCGAGGTGACCTATAGGGGGGATTGGAGACGAACAAAGTATCTCACAGTTGAATTTGAGAATTCTCAGGACCAAGTCATAGGCAGCATAAGGAAAACGCACTTCTTATCTCAGGTACCTTTGAGACTATTCAGGAGCAACTGAAGAGGCACCACTGGGAAAAGGAAACACACCTCTTGCAGGAAGTCAGCCACTCCTTTGCGGGCGGGCGGCACAAACCCCATTTCCTGGAAGAATCCCAACACCTCTTCCCTGGGCCCATGGTACACAATCCGCCCCTCTGACATCAGCATGACGTCATCAAACAGCTCAAAGGTTTCCGGTGCCGGTTGCAGCAGGGAGATGAGGGTGGTGGTATTAGTTACGTGCGTGAGGCTGCGCAGGGACCGTATGATCCGGTGGGCAGTGGCGGAATCGAGGCCGTTGGGAATCTCGTCCAATAGGAGGAGCTGCTTTGCACCCAGCAGTGCTTCGGCGATGGTCAATCGCTTCTTCTCGCCTCCTGAGATCCCTCTCCGCATGCTGTCCCCTACCATGGTATCAGCACACACGTCCAGCCCGAGCATCTGCCGATCAGGTGGCATTGGGTGCAAGGGGGAGCGGAGGAGGTGGCTGAAGTGTGATTCGCTTTCTGTCCTCTTGGTACAGCTCTTTGCACAGTGACGCTTATCACGGTATCAGCACACATGTGCAAGCCCGGCGTCAGGGTAGGGGTAGAGTGATGGAGTGCAGATCTGAGTTGCAAGGGGTGAGTGATGGAGTGCAGATCTGAGTTGCAAGGGGTGAGTGATGGGAGAAGCGAGCGGCAGCGTGCTCAGCAGGGACGACTGTGGGCAGAGAGAAAAGGCAGGTTGATTAGCCGACTGAAAAGAAGAGACAAGTGTGGTACGGATAAACGAGCGGAGCAAAGAAAAAAGAATGACGAACACACACACACACACACACACACGCACGCACGCACGCACGCATGCACGCACGCACACACACACACACACACACACACACACACACACACACACACACACACGCACGTGCGCGCGGCTGACACCCCCCTCCCCTCCCACGAGCACATTTACGCAGAACCGCGCACACCTTGAGGACGTACGGCACCACCACATCTGCCCACCGCCCCTCATCGCCCATCGCCTGCAGGAGTGGACGGCGGGACACACGCAGCAATGCCACAAAGGAACGGGGACGGGCCGAAGGGTTTCCGGAGAGGAGGGGTTGAGTTGTCAAATTCAGTCCACTTATGCATGTGTATACTTGCTTATAAGGGCGCAAGGGAGGCAACACGATATGTATAATGAGAAACAAAACATTGCATGTTTGAATCATAAGGGGTGTCAATTTGGTAGTATCAAAACCAACTCCCGACATACGAGCAGGAGGCAGCAGAAATGGAAGTGCTTGAGTCGGCTCGAAAGTCAACCTGGGCAGATTGAAACATCTTCTCATACTCAAGAACAGTATGCACACATGTTCGTCACCATAAAATGGGCAATAAAAATGTTCCACCATAGAAGTAACAGCAGTGAACGTCATCACCTTGATGGCAACATCCGGCATGACATCATCACCCCCATGACATCATCACCTTGGTCTTTTGTTACATAAATACCCCCATGATCTCATCCCTCCACATGAAATCATCCCCCCATGACGTCATCACCATCTACAAAGGGGCTCCCATGACGTCATCACGCCCATGACATCACCATTACCTTGACAACGGTTCGCATGACATGGTCGGGCTTGATTCCCATCTCCCGCTCCTTCTCCTCCAGCTGCCGACATAGGTCTGCGTGGGTGGGGTGCCGAATGACGAGGGCGCCGAATGACGAGGGCGCCGAATGATGTGGGCGCCGAATGACGAGGGCGCCGAATTAGGCGGGAGAATGGGACGGCGGAGGGATTAGGGGAAGGAGGGAGGGGAGAAAGGACGGCGAAGAAGGGAGGGAGGGAGGGAGGGAGGGAGGGAGGGAGGGAGGAAGAGAGGCACGTGTGCTATTTTCAAGTGCCCAAAAGCAAACTGTTGGAAAATAATTCGGAGTTGGAGTGAATGAATGAACAGTAGCTGCCATGGCGGAAGGGATGCACCACGGGACTGAGCTCGGACCACCTGCCCGTGGCCATGCGGCTGTTGCCACGTCTCAAACCTCTCCGAACCCAGGAGGACTTGGGAACAGAAGCAAAGAGCACTACATGCCTTCCCTGTGACTGATTGTTTTGCAGGCGAAAGGGAGAAGGCACGCATATCTTCAAGAGTCATTCAAATGTGTGGCCGCCCCCTGTTTGTTTGAAGACACCTCAAACCTCACCTGCCATGTAGCCGGGCCCCTGCAGACGAGCGGAGAACTCGAGTGTCTCCCTCACATTCATCTCGCCGATGTGGGAGTCCGTCTGAGGCACAAACGCCACGGAGCGCGGCAGCACAAAGTGGCTGCCCGGGCGGCCGTTGTACGTGACCTCGCCCTGCACGCGCAGCTCCCTCTCCGCCCTCCCTGCCAGGGTCCTCAGCAGCGTTGACTTGCCGCTGCCTGGCGGCCCCAGCAGCAGCTTCATCCTGTGGGATGAGGCGAGGAGCAGATGGAACAGGGTGATGAGGTGATAATCAGATGAGGTGATAATCAGATGAGGTGATAATCAGATGAGGTGATAATCAGATGAGGTGATAATTAGATGAGGTGATAATCAGATGAGGTGATAATCAGATGAGGTGATAATCAGATGTGGTGATAATCAGATGAGGTGATAATCAGATGAGGTGATAATCAGATGAGGTGATAATCAGATGAGGTGATAATCAGATGAGGTGATAATCAGATGAGGTGATAATCAGATGAGGTGATAATCAGATGAGGTGATAATCAGATGAGGTGATAATCAGATGAGGTGATAATCAGATGAGGTGATAATCAGATGAGGTGATAATCAGATGAGGTGATAATCAGATGAGGTGATAATCAGATGAGGTGATAATCAGATGAGGTGATAATCAGATGAGGTGATAATCAGATGAGGTGATAATCAGATGAGGTGATAATCAGATGAGGTGATAATCAGATGAGGTGATAATCAGATGAGGTGATAATCAGATGAGGTGATAATCAGATGAGGTGATAATCAGATGAGGTGATAATCAGATGAGGTGATAATCAGATGAGGTGATAATCAGATGAGGTGATAATCAGATGAGGTGATAATCAGATGAGGTGATAATCAGATGAGGTGATAATCAGATGAGGTGATAATCAGATGAGGTGATAATCAGATGAGGTGATAATCAGATGAGGTGATAATCAGATGAGGTGATAATCAGATGAGGTGATAATCAGATGAGGTGATAATCAGATGAGGTGATAATCAGATGTGGTGATAATCAGATGAGGTGATAATCAGATGTGGTGATAATCAGATGAGGTGATAATCAGATGAGGTGATAATCAGATGTGGTGATAATCAGATGAGGTGATAATCAGATGTGGTGATAATCAAATGAGGTGATAATCAGATGAGGTGATAATCAGATGAGGTGATAATCAGATGAGGTGATAATCAGATGAGGTGATAATCAGATGAGGTGATAATCAGATGAGGTGATAATCAGATGAGGTGATAATCAGATGAGGTGATAATCAGATGAGGTGATAATCAGATGAGGTGATAATCAGATGAGGTGATAATCAGATGAGGTGATAATCAGATGAGGTGATAATCAGACGAGGTGATAATCAGATGAGGTGATAATCAGATGAGGTGATAATCAGATGAGGTGATAATCAGATGAGGTGATAATCAGATGAGGTGATAATCAGATGAGGTGATAATCAGATGAGGTGATAATCAGATGTGGTGATAATCAGATGTGGTGATAATCAGATGAGGTGATAATCAGATGTGGTGATAATCAGATGAGGTGATAATCAGATGAGGTGATAATCAGATGAGGTGATAATCAGATGAGGTGATAATCAGATGTGGTGATAATCAGATGAGGTGATAATCAGATGAGGTGATAATCAGATGAGGTGATAATCAGATGAGGTGATAATCAGATGAGGTGATAATCAGATGAGGTGATAATCAGATGAGGTGATAATCAGATGTGGTGATAATCAGATGAGGTGATAATCAGATGAGGTGATAATCAGATGAGGTGATAATCAGATGTGGTGATAATCAGATGAGGTGATAATCAGATGAGGTGATAATCAGATGAGGTGATAATCAGATGAGGTGATAATCAGATGAGGTGATAATCAGATGAGGTGATAATCAGATGAGGTGATAATCAGATGTGGTGATAATCAGATGAGGTGATAATCAGATGAGGTGATAATCAGATGAGGTGATAATCAGATGAGGTGATAATCAGATGTGGTGATAATCAGATGAGGTGATAATCAGATGAGGTGATAATCAGATGTGGTGATAATCAGATGAGGTGATAATCAGATGAGGTGATAATCAGATGAGGTGATAATAAGATGAGGTGATAATCAGATGAGGTGATAATCAGATGAGGTGATAATCAGATGAGGTGATAATCAGATGAGGTGATAATCAGATGAGGTGATAATCAGATGAGGTGATAATCAGATGTGGTGATAATCAGATGAGGTGATAATCAGATGTGGTGATAATCAGATGAGGTGATAATCAGATGAGGTGATAATCAGATGAGGTGATAATCAGATGAGGTGATAATCAGATGTGGTGATAATCAGATGAGGTGATAATCAGATGAGGTGATAATCAGATGAGGTGATAATCAGATGAGGTGATAATCAGATGAGGTGATAATCAGATGAGGTGATAATCAGATGAGGTGATAATCAGATGTGGTGATAATCAGATGAGGTGATAATCAGATGAGGTGATAATCAGATGAGGTGATAATCAGATGTGGTGATAATCAGATGAGGTGATAATCAGATGAGGTGATAATCAGATGAGGTGACAATCAGATGAGGTGATAATCAGATGAGGTGATAATCAGATGAGGTGATAATCAGATGAGGTGATAATCAGATGTGGTGATAATCAGATGAGGTGATAATCAGATGAGGTGATAATCAGATGAGGTGATAATCAGATGAGGTGATAATCAGATGTGGTGATAATCAGATGAGGTGATAATCAGATGAGGTGATAATCAGATGTGGTGATAATCAGATGAGGTGATAATCAGATGAGGTGATAATCAGATGAGGTGATAATAAGATGAGGTGATAATCAGATGAGGTGATAATCAGATGAGGTGATAATCAGATGAGGTGATAATCAGATGAGGTGATAATCAGATGAGGTGATAATCAGATGTGGTGATAATCAGATGAGGTGATAATCAGATGTGGTGATAATCAGATGAGGTGATAATCAGATGAGGTGATAATCAGATGAGGTGATAATCAGATGTGGATCCACATGGGCCGCCTCAAAGGGGATCGTGAGCAGCGTTGACTTGCCGCTCCCTGGCGAACCCAGCAGCAGCGTCGTCCTGTGAATGAGGGGGTTCAGGTGGTGGGGTGATGCTTTCCAGCTGAGCAACAGACAGCGCCATTCAATCTGGAGGCAGCGTCTTCCTGTGAATGAGGGGGCAGCGTCAGTCAACAGGCAGCGCCGATCCTTCACCAGCCAGGGCTCCGTCCAGCATCAGCCACGCTGGGAATGGAATGCCCGTACCTGCCAGGCTGGGAATGGAATGCCCATACCTGCCAGGCTGGGAATGGAATGCCCGTACCTGGCAGGCTTGAGGATGCCAGAGCAGGCATCAAGCGCGAAGAAGAGGCGGCGCTGGTCGTTGAGTAGGCGCAGACCCCTCAGCAGCGCGCCTGCGTGGTTGGGCAGCTGGTTGGGCAGCTGGTTGGGCAGCTGGTTGGGCAGCTGGTTGGGCAGCTGGTTGGGCAGCGTGGGCACGCCCCTCGCGCCCACTCGCACCTTGGCGCACGCGCTCACCCCCTCAAAGCGCACCTCCACTCCGGGGAACGCCACTCCCACGCTGTGAGGGTTAGGGTGGGAGATGGGGGGAACAGAAAGGGCGAATGGGCAAGCCTTTCTCTCCCAATTGCGCCTTTGCATTCCGCAACAGGTTCGCCCGGGGTGGATGCAGTCTACGGGTGACCCCTCAAAGCACACCTCTGCTCCGAGGAATGACACTCCCTCATTGCGAAATAACGGGACGGGAGGCGGAGGAGGAAGGGAGGGAGGTTGGGGTGGGAGATGGGGAGAATGGAAGGGGTAGATGCGCAGACCTCTTGCCCCACTCACGCTGTCAACCGCACCTCCACTTGCGCCAAGACACTTTGACGCTGGGGAAGAACGGCAGGTGGGGGGGAAGGGGGAGGGAGAAGGCTTGGGGTGGGAGACGGGCCACGGGCAGAAGCGCTAAGGGCAGTCGTCACCTCGTCTTCTCTGTGAACTCCTCGCCGTCCAGCTCAGTGAGCACAGCATTCATTCTGAGGCGTCTGGAAGTGAATGTATAGATATGCATGCAACTGGCCCGAGAGTGGCACCTGTCCAGGCGTCGCCTCATCTTCTCCAGAAACTCCACCTCACCATGACCCGCCCATCCCAAGATGTCCGGGGTCCACGTGGCAGGTTCTTTGCATTGCCTGCAGGTGACACGTTTTTGTTCGCGATTCGAGAATCCTACCGTTGGCTCCATGATACGAGTGCGATGTTTATCGGTTGGTTCCAACTTACGGCTGTGTTATGCGAATTGGGGCTTCGACAGTCACTTGTCAAGCAGCAGCCTGCGTGACCACGGCTTTCAACACTGAACGGGTCGACGAGGGATTCCTTCTCGCCCGCGATAGCAGGGGCGCATTGGCGCGAGAGGGCCCGCCCGATGCCCTCGCTACCGTCACAAGAACGCGAGGCCCACTCGCCCGCCCCTAGCGCGAAAGCGGATGGCTGCCCCTTGGGCCCCTTCGCCCCTGCCCAACGCCAAGCCGGAACCGCCCATGATGGAGGGGCACCAGTGGTGACGCGGCTAGGTGAATCTGGCTGACTCAGTAAGACGGAATGGCAGTAGTAGGTTCCCGAGTTGAACGCCATGGAAGGTTCCCCACACTATGATGCCATTTTGGGGCATTGGTCCTGGCGGATGGGGACCAGCCCACTTTCGACAGCATTGATTTGGGAAGCCAGACGACTGCCTTGTACGAGCACGACACGTGTGACTTCGTTCCGTACGCAATCTGAAGCGGCAACAGTGACGTACGGTATCTCAAAGCAGCCATTGATTTTGACAGCGAGTGCGGGTCACCCGCCCTGACAACACCTTGTCAGTCGGCTCCAGCATGCGGCCGCTGACGCAGCTCGGTGTGGGTTTGGTCACCAGAGTTTGCTACCCTCGCAAGGCGTCGCGAAGTCAGCTCCCATCCCAACTCGCGAATCGGAAATTGGTGTAAGCGAAATTTTGTGCTTTCGTGTCTGCGAAATCAGATCACAACTCGCTACACGCGAGTGTTACGGAAGAAAAGTCAAATCATAATGGTCTATGACCCAAGCCATAATGGTCTATGATGCACACCAAGGTAACATATTTTGTTTACAGTATTGAACAGGTAATCTGTCTGAACGTGCTAACCATTTTACCCTGGGCAGGGGCAAACTACTGATCCCTAGAGGTGTGCAAGAGGAAAAAAACAAGGTTGCGTTGCATTGCTTGCAAGCCCCCACCATACACGAGAGAATAAACCTTAGTTAACAATGGTACAGCTACAGTGTGGAGTGAGTGGGGCCCTAGAGAGGCACGGCCTCGAAGAGGCGTGAGAAGTAAAACTTGGTGCCGGTCATTTCCTTCTTCACCACCCTCCAGCCCGCTTTCTGCCAGTCCAACACACGACAGGTGGGAAGGAAGCAAATCAGCACATAGCAACACACAGGTGGGAGGAAGTGGCAGGTCCAGCATTAGCAGGCAGGGTAGCGATGAGGAGGAGAGCACAAGAGCTGTGGTGCAGCGTTGCATCTCCAGTGGGATGATGGCGGTGGAGGCGGCAGTTGGAGGAGAACGAGCATAGGCGTGTGGCACCTGGATGGCCATGCTTGCTTGAGGAAAGTAATAGGGCATGGTACTGGAGCATGGCAGTGGAGCGTGGTGCTGGAGTGAGTGAGTGAGTGAATGAGTGAGTGAATGAATGAGCGAATGAACGAGTGAGTGAATGAGTGAGTGAATGAGCGAGTGAATGAATGAGCGAATGAATGAGCGAGTGAGTGAATGAGTGAGTGAATGAATGAGTGAATGAACGAGTGAATGAACGAGTGAATGAGTGAGTGAATGAGTGACTGAGTGAACGAGTGACTGAATGAGTGAGTGCGTGAATGAGTGAGTGCGTGAATGAGTGAGTGAGTGATTGAATGATTGAGTGAGTGAATGAGTGAGTGTGTGATTGAGTGAGTGAATGAGTGAGTGCGGGAATAAGTGAGTGAGTGAATGAGTGAGTGAGTGAATGACAGAGTGAGTGAATGAGCGAGTGAATTTTGTGGGTGAGTGAGTGAATGAGTGGGTGAGGGAACTGACCTTGAGGGCGCCCTCCACCTCCTCCTCCGAGTGCAGGTAGGCGCGGGTGGCCTTGGACGGGCCGGGGAACAGCTCGCCCACGCGCTGCACAGTAGGGCGCAGCCATAGGCATGGGGGGCAGGACGGAGAGGTGTGAGGGGGAAGACAATGGGGTGTGTGGTGTGGTGTGGTGTGGTGTGGCGGAGTGGGGTGTGGTGTGGTGTGTTGTGTTGTGGTGTGGTGTGTTGTGTTGTGGTGTGGACATGGCTTAATGGTGGATGGAGAGTGGAGGGACAGAAGTGGAGCACAGCACACACAAAAGGGATGACACGGGCTGCAGCAGCGCGAGTGTAAATCCATGCGGCAAGCGAGCATGAGACGAGAGGAGCAGCGAGTGCAAGCAGATGGTAGGGCTGTGGGCACCTTGAGGAAGGCGTAGTAGGGCGTGTAAGGGGCGAAGCTGAGGATGACTCTGTCCGTGGCCAGCGAGGCGAGGTGGGCGATCATGGCGTCTGACTTGTCCTGTGGGTAGTGGATCAGCACGTCCAGACACGTCACTGCCACGGGAGGGAGGGGGCGGGGGGAGGAAGGAGAAGGATGGGGCAGAACGGGGGAGAGGGACAATTTTGAGAAAATACTTTATAGGCAGCATATTAGCATGTTCAGAGACGTCTCTGCAGGAGGGGATGGGCAGGGAAGATGTGGAGAGCGAGAATTTGAGACATGTGACTGACTTTGAGGCATGCACCACCAGGGTGGTCGAGGGGAGGTCCAGCAGGGAACGGTGAGAGATGCAGGATAGCGGAGAAGGGAAGAGGCGAGAGGGCAGAAGGGATTGGAGAGGGGAGTGAGATGAGATGAGATGAGGAGCCCGAGAGCACCTCCGGTCCCATGTGACCCTTCCCTTCCCGCAGGTCTGCATGCAGCCGTGCCCGCGGGGTTGATTGCCCAGTGTCGTGTATCCTGTGGCATGCCACATGGGCATCCCCTTCCGCCTACACTGATGCACTACACGGCCCTGCTGCTGCACTGCTGCCTTGTGGCATCACCCTTTCGTCTCCCCCCATTTCTAACCAGTGTGGTCTTTCCTGCATTGTCGTACCAGTGTGCTCTTTCATTTCCTTGAAAGGTGGCATCTCCTCCATTCTCTTACCAGTGGTGCGTCCTCGATGTTCTTTCCAGTGTGACGTTTCCTCTAATGCCTCGCCAGTGGTGCTTCTTCTCTCGTGTGCTCACCAGTGTGGTATTGCCCGTCGATGGACTCCAGGTCCTTGGCCTCGAACACCGGCATCACCAGCTGCTTCGCCGTCTTCGCTTCTGCCAGCGCCACCTTGGCCCTCTCCGCGCCCTCTCCCGCCTGTACCTCCGCCACCGCAAAAAAAACACACGCCAATGTGATGCACAGCCACGCAGAGCAGAGCAGGGCAAGGCGAGACAGGGCACGCCGGGGGGGACAGACATGGGAAGAAGGGTGAATAGGGTTGTGAGAAACAGTGGGGCCTGCCTGGTTCGCAGAGCGCTCAGAGGAGCGAGAAGGGAAGAGAGGCAAGAAGTGGCGGAGAGAAGAGGGACGAGGTGAGGGGAGTGGATGTGAGAGCCTTGCTAGTCCAGGTTTGAGCCAGGTGACATCAGTTTAGGTGGGTAGGTGGCACACCATGCAGGTCAGAGGCAGATGATGCCTGTGCATGGGCTGTAGCCCGAATGGGAATGGCATCGCGTGGCAGCAGACCCGGCAGATGGGAATGCATGGCATGGCAACACTTGGGAGTGGACGTGGACGCTTGAGATGTCCTATGGTGGCGGCACCAGGGAATGCGCACCATGGCGGCACAAGGGAATGGGATGCGTACCATGGCGGCACAAGGGAATGGGATGCGTACCATGGCGGCACACGGGAATGGGATGCGTACCATGGCGGCACAAGGGAATGGGATGCGTACCATGGCGGCACAAGGGAATGGGATGCGTACCATGGCGGCACAAGGGAATGGGATGCGTACCATGGCGGCAGAGATATCACTGGCGTACACTGTGGCTCCCTCCAGCGCCAGAGGGATGGACAGGCTGTAAGGGGGGGAGATGGAGTGGGGGGAGATGGAGTGGGGGGAGATGGAGTGGGGGGAGATGGAGTGGGGGGAGATGGAGTGGGGGGAGAGACGGGATGGGGGCGAGGCTAGGAGATGCACGGGTACGTTGATGTGGGGCAGCGGCGCATGCGTGCACCACACGCATCCGCTTCAGTGGGCTTCTGAAAGCGGCACCACATGCACCAGCAGCAGCAGCAGACATTCCGGACTGTCACTAGCACCCGCATGAACCAAGCTTCAAGGGCGAGCGCGGGTAAGGGGCGAACGAGGGGTAGGGACCGAAGTTAAGGGGCGAACGAGGGTAAAGGGCGAGCAAGGGTAAGGGGCGAGCAAGGGTAAGGGGCGAGCAAGGGTAAGGGGCGAGCAAGGGTAAGTGGTGGCTGGGGGACGGGGAGAAGGAGGAGCGGTGCTTGCCTGCCGGTGCCGCATCCCGCATCGCACACCGTGACGCCGTCCAGCGAGCCCTCCTCCCTCAACCACCTCAGAACCTGCCGTCACGCGCAGTGCACAGCACAGTACAGTGTGTACTGAGTGTTTCGTATGGTGAACTCCAATATGTGGTCATGTACTGGTGAATCCACTCATACTACGCAAGGAAGTTCGCGCTCCAACGTTGCTCAGCAGGTACGGCGTGAAGGTCAGATGATAAGGCGGCTGACTAGAAGCCTGATCAGTGCTCACCTTTTCGACGGTCTGCGCGTGGCCTTGACGGATGTCCAGCTGCAGGTAGAGGGGGCGGGGGCACGTGGAAGGCACGTCATGCGGTGAGAAGAGCACGAGAGGCAGCGCGCACCCCGACAGGCGATGCAGGTGCGTAGGTGGGGTCGCTATCTACCGTGGCCTGGCAGGCCGTTCGAATCATGAACGACACTGGTTCATCACGAAGGAGAAATGCAAACGATGCAGGTTCAACACACCCTTTCATGCCCCCGTTCTTCCGTTCCTCTCCCTCCTTCTCCCCCCACCACCACCCCCCTTTCCCCATCCCCCTTTTCCCCTTCCCTCTCTTCCCACCCCTCCTCCGCCTGTAACCCTTCCCCACTGATCTTCGTGGCGCGAGTCGCGCCAGCACGGCTCACCTGCACGGAGTTGACGTCGTCTGTCTCGCCGTAGATGCGGCGCCACCTGTCGTACCCCGCCGTGTTGAAGTAGTTGCGCACCTGCCGCGTCAGCGGGCACCACACGAAATAACGCGTCAATCGACAGCACGCGTGGGAAGGACCGACGAAGCATCGAACGGTGACCGAGACAGGCGGAGAGAAGCCGGACTGAATTGAAAGGGCTCAATTCGCGTCAAATGTGGCACGATAACATACGCCGAGCATGAGCCAAGTGCTAAGAAAGCGTGCGTGATCGGGTGAGGGCGGTGAGCGGCCCTACCGCATCCATCTCGTTGCCGCCCACTTCCTCCGCTTGCTGCTGTCGCCTGCGCGCACACGCATGCGGGAGATAGGACAATTGGTGTCACGACGAGAGAAGCGCACGCGATGTATTGGCAAGTAGACTAAGAAACGGAAGGGCAGAAAGCGTGCGTATCCAGAAGTTTCTATTCTCTAGCGGTACTAGCGCAGGCACTTTAAGGCACATCCGAACTGGGCCATTTGCGACGAGCAGAGTGAGGGGGCGCGCAATCACCTCTTCTCCGGGTCGGCGAGGGAGAGCACCGTCGCGAGTGCCGCGAGCGCACCGCCGCCCGCAACAGCAATGCCCACTGACCCGCCGTCATCTGCACGCAGGCGAGCCGAACCACGTGGAACGAAGTGGAGAGACGGGTAACGACGGGAAACAAGCGGGAAAATTGTTAGCCGCCTTGCGTGGAACAGCAACGCATTGAATCCCGCTGAGTCAGATAAAGCAAATGGAAAGCTGAAGCCGCAGCAGGGCACAACGCTACAAGCGGCGCTGCGCGCACTGACCGAGAAGCGCGCGTGCGGGCGCGACGGGTTTGGGAGCCGCGATGGAGACGCGCGCGGCTGTTGCGCCACCCGCGCTCAGACGTTGACCCGTGAAGGCCGTCTGTAGGCTAACGCACGCGGCTTGCTGGAGGGCGGCCATTATGAATTCGACGTCGACGTGTGGATCAGCGTGCTCACGGAATGCGCGTTGGTGGCTGAGCGTTGAGCACAGGCACAGACGCAACGACAGCCGAAGTCGAGCTCGCGAATCTTCAACGACAGTAATGGCGAGGCAACTACTGCAATGCTGACTTCACTGCTTACCATGCTGCGTCCTGCGGTGATGGGAACGCGAATTTCGATGGCACTGGGATTGCACTGTTCCAGTTTGGATGGGGCTTGGGGGCGAGAAGGCTGGACAGGTGGTCAACGTGGCGCGCGTAGAGAGTTGCGAGGGGCTTCTTTGTGCCACGGTGTTGCTACATGGTTGGTCGCTAGATTGTCATTCTTGGGTTCTTGAGAAAGTGGTCAGGGCGGATTTGTACTCGATTGCGGTAAGAACCAGAAATAGATTGAGCGCTACATCAGGCCAAATTTACACTTGTCACAAAAATGTTGGCAGCAATTATTTTCCGTTCATTAGCTTTTACTTTTGCCCGGTGGCTTTCCACCCAACCTCGACTCACAAATTTTGCCACAAGCAGTTACCACCCCACCTCGATTGGTTCGTCTGGTTACACGGGCATCGCGTTTTCGTGACCCGTCTACTCTTCGCCTCCCACCTGCTCCCCTTCTACCACCCTCGTCGCCCCTCCTACCCCTCCCTCCTCCGCGCTCCCGCATTGTTATGCCCTAGACTCTTCTCCCTTCCCTCCTTTTCGCCTTGGCCCCCTGCCCTGCGCCTAGTGCCCTGGAATCGTTTCCTTCCTCTGTCCCTTAGCCTACCAGGTGTCGCACACGTCCCGCCGCGCCGGATCGCAAGCATGGCGACAGAAGCCGTGATGGTCGCAGAGGCGCCCGCTGGGGCATCCAACGAGGTCAAGCTCTTCGGCAAGTGGTCCTTCGCAGCGGAGGAGATCACGGTATGCGCTATAAGCTGCCCCGCGAAGGTCGCTGTCACCATGGTCGCTCATCGAATCGCTGGCTCGGCATCATTGCAGCAGTGTGAGGGCACGATAGTCCTTACAGTGGTACCGGAGCGCGTAGCTTTTGCTTCTAGCCGGTAGGCAAACCACTTCAAATTGTCGTCTCTCGTGCGGCGTCGGCGACGTCGCGTTTCTCGCACCCAGCAGCGGTGGGCGTCTCTCGTGGTTAACCGTCAGCAGCGCGCGTGGTTCGTAGTCGACAATCGCATTCGTCAATTCTCCGTGATCGCATTATATCGGATTTCGTGAACCCCCGTAGCCCTCTCGATGCTGCCTTTCTGCTCCGCCGTTCGTGCTTTGGCCAGGAGGGTTAGTCGCACGCACAGGTCTGGCAAACAAGGGTTGCCACCGAGGATTAGTTGCAAAAGCAGGTTTGGGGAGACATGTTTGGCAAACGCGGGTTAGTCACAGGGCAGATTTTGCAAGCGAGGGATAAGTCTTGACGGAGCTTCGTTAGGGCGTGGCGCGGATGTGGGGGTGCAGAGCAGCGCGTGATTGGACTGGGCAGGCACTGGAAACCGACTGGCAGCCAAGTTGGCCTTCCGCAAGTACCGTGCATTCATTCCTCGAGCCGTCTTGACTTTCCCGTGCAATTGAGCTGTTGGTTTGGACATCGGCTTTTAGGGTTTGTGTTGCGAGTGCCGCTTGTTGCAACATGCAGCGTGATCGGATATTGATTAATGCTTCCCGCCAGTCGGCGTGCTTACTCTGCGGGATGCGAGAGCGGGGCGCGCATGAGAACGTGGTAGCCGCATCAGCGATAGATCGTGCACGTTGGACGAGCCGATCGTGCGACCTGAGCGCGTGGCGGACTTGATTAGGTTGCCGCGCTACGTCGTTATGGCGTCGCCTTTAGTCCTGCTCGAATCTGGGTTCAAATTGTTCACTGCGCGGTGATCCGCGCGCATTGCCTCATACTCTCTGCGCGCCTCGTCTCTCCCCATGTTCTTCAACGTCCCCTTTCTCTCCATACTCTTCCCCCCTCCTGTCTCGTTCTGTCTCCCTTTACGCCCCCCAACCGGCAGGTGAACGACTTGTCGCTTGCCGACTACATCGCCGTCAAGCACGCCATCACCGTGCCGCACACTGCCGGCCGTTACTCAGCCAAGCGCTTCCGCAAGGCGAACTGCCCGATCATTGAGCGGTGAGTGCAGCGGTTCGTGGTGACGGCCGCGATGGGGCGAGGATGACGAGCACATCGATGAGGATGACGAGCACGTCGATGAGGATGACGAGCACATCGATGAGGATGACGAGCACATCGATGAGGATGACGAGCACACCGATGAGGATGGCGAGCACGTCGATGAGGATGACGAGCACATCGATGAGGATGACGAGCACATCGATGAGGATGACGAGCACATCGATGAGGATGACGAGCACATCGATGAGGATGACGAACACATCGATGAGGATGACGAGCACGTCGATGAGGATGCTCCGCGCAGCCCGGGGCCGGGCTGGGTGGCGTTCCGCCCGACGCCCTGAGACCCTTGTCACACCCTGCCCTCCCAACCCCCTCTCGGCTCGTGCTCACGCACACGCGCTCTTGCGATAGAGCAGAGCTCGCGCCCTTGGTCCCTCACACGCCGTCTTGCCCTCTGTCCTTCCTTGCCCTTCGTCCTCAACCCCTCGGCCTTGGCCCTCCCTCCCTCCCTCCTCCCTCCTCCCTCCATCTTCCCTCTCGCTTCCTGGCCCCGCTGTCCCGTCCCCGTCCCCCTTCCGCCGCCCGGCCCGCGTGCTTGCGTTCTGTGCGGAGCAGGCTGACGAACAGTCTGATGACGAGCGGGCGCAACAACGGCAAGAAGCTCAGTGCCATTCCTTGCCTTTCATCCTTTCCCCCATTCGCCCTTCCCCCTTCTCTTGTCCCTTCCTCCGTCTCCCGTCCCGCTTTCCTTCCGCTTCCGTTCCGCCGTTGCGCAGGCTGACGAACAGTCTGATGATGCACGGGCGCAACAACGGCAAGAAGATGATGGCGGTGCGCATCGTGCAGCACGCCATGGAGATCATCCACCTGCTCACCGACCAGAACCCCATCCAAGTCATCGTCGACGCCATCGTCAACAGGTAACAACCACCCCCACCTTCCGCCTTCCCTTCCCTTTCACTCCCCTCCCTCTCACTCCCCTCCTTGCTCCCTTCCTTCTTACTCCCCTCCCTCTTTCTTCCCTCAAGCGGTCCTTTCATTGATATAGGCGGCAGTACACAGGCATCGTGACCGGCATAAGAAAATACTAACCAGAAAAAGTCTACTCCCTCTTGCCCACCTCCATCTCACACCCCTCCCTCTCTCACATCCCTCCCTCTTCCACCCCTCCCGCTTGCTCCCCTCACTCTCACACCCCTCCCTCTTGCTCCCCTCCCTCTCACTCCTCTTCCTCTTGCTCCCTTCCCTCGCACTACCCTCCCTCGCATTCCCATCGCTCATTCCTCTCACTCACACGCCAACCCTCTGTCCGCATAACCCCCCTCCCCCTCGCGCCAACAGCGGGCCGCGCGAGGACGCGACGAGGATCGGGTCGGCGGGAGTCATTCGGCGCCAGGCCGTCGACATCTCGCCGCTGCGACGAGTCAACCAGGTACGCGCGGACCGCCGAGTCAACCAGGGACGCGCGGACCGACGAGTCAACCAGGGACGCGTGGGCCGTGCGCGCGGCCGTGCAACTATGACTATGCATGCAGGCCGTGCAACTATGACTATGCATGCAGGCACGCAAACATGCGCAGTTTCTCACGGGCCAGCGCGCCATGGCGTGCCGCCACATGTGCGCGAATGGGCGCTCAGCTCGCCCATCCTCTGCCCTCCACCGCCGATGGTTTCCCGCTTTTGCGCAACCACGCGCGTCGCGTGCACCAAGCAGCAGCATGAGCTGCTGCAGTGCTCCCTGCCACCGCTTTTTGTGTGATCCTTCCGGCACCTCTTTCCTCGTGCGTCACGAGTGATCCTCATTCTTCACACTCCCCACCCACCCGCCCCTTTATGTGCCGCCCTTCCCTCCTCATCCTTCCCCCGTTCCCCCGCGCGTAGGCCATCGCGCTGCTGACGACGGGCGCGCGCGAGGCGTCGTTCCGCAACGTGAAGACGATCGCGGAGTGCCTGGCGGACGAGCTCATCAACGCCGCCAAGGGCAGCTCCAACAGGTGCGTTGTGGCACTCGGGCTTTAAGGGCAGCTCCAACAGGTGCGTTGTGGCACTCGGGCTTTAAGGGCATCTCCAACAGGTGAGGCAGTCGGGCTTCAAAGGCAGCTCCAACAGGTGAGGCTCTGGCTTTAAGGGCAGCTCTAACAGGTGAGGCGCCCCCCTGAACTTGAAGGGCAGGTGTGTTGACAGGTGTGTTGACGCTCCCCATGGGCTTTAAGGCAGCTCCAACAGGTGAGCTGCTCACCTGCGACAGCAGGCATGGTGGGCACAAGGTGGGCAGTGGTGGCAGTGAGCAGCTGTGCTCGCAGTAACATGAGCCAGTGGCCACGCTGTGATGGTTGGTGCCTTGCTGAGTGGTGGAGTCAGGAAGGTGCCCTTTTTTGGCTTGGACCTGCTCCTACAAAGGTGCCATGCTGTGAGCATCATTAGCACCACACATGTACTATGTCTGCATGTGCCTGTTGTTGGACCTAATTAAAGCAGCTGAGGAAGCTATCGGAGCTTCTTCAGAGCCCCTTTCCTAATCTTCTCTCCCAGAGTTCTTACACATTCTCTCAAAACCTTTAAAACTGTCTCTCGTCCTTGTTGCCTGGCAGCTACGCCATCAAGAAGAAGGATGAGATTGAGCGTGTTGCCAAGGCCAATCGTTAAGCATTGCTACTTGCAGTCTGCGCTGCAACTCTTCAAGCTCCCACCAGTGGTCTCTTCGCCTACAGCTGCTGTGCTCCATAGTATTAAAGAGAATCTTCAGGAACGCATAGATAAGCCATATGAAAGCTGTGTCTGATATTGTGAATGAAGGGGAATTTCCTGGTGGTCAAACTGGGAACATGAGCTAAAGACAGGCAGGAAACGAGGTCTCTACTGGATGAGAGTACTTGCGAGGTGTAGCAAGTTTGCACAGATGACGGTCGGTCTCTGACGGTTACGTTGGAGAGTTGACGTTCTGGTTGAGTAGCCTTGCCTGGCTGGGTTGGGCAGGAGGGATGGGACAGATGGAGGGAGGGAGAACCAATCAACCAGCAGCCGGACAGAGAAACGAACAAGCGGCGCCACTGTCTTGAAGGGAAAGTGCATGTTGACTATCTCAACATGAGGTTTGAAAATGTAAGATCAATTTACCACCGTACTGAACCTACGCAAAGTGACTTTGCGAACTACAGAGCCGCTTCCAACTCCCATTGCAACAGCGGCGTGATCCGCGTCAACATGCAAAACACAGATCGCGTCAAACAGCAAACATAGGCGATCAACATGCAAAACACGCTCGTGATCGCTCTTTTTTTTCCGCGAGGCTCTCCAGGTCGTCGTTGACTAGGGTTTCGGAAGTGGAGGCTTTTCCACGACACTGCTGCCCCAACATGCACAATTTTCTGCACTCTGCTGCAGTCAGCGTTCGGTCAGACCTGGCGAGGTGTTCGGTCACGACACTACGAGGTTTCTAAAGCCGAGGCAAGGTTGCAGTGACGTCGTCACCGTACATCAGTGGTCCGTTCAGACCTCTGGTTTGAGGTTCGGCATGTCCTGCGAAGGAATTCTTCTGGTCTGGTCGTCGAGTCTTCCCCCAACGACCCCCGTCCCACCGTGGCCGAGCCACGCAGTCGCCTCGCTAGTCTCGGTGTGTCCGACCGCACCTCGACAACCGTTGGTTTGGTCACAGCAGTCCTCGTGGCAACGCATCACAACCTGCTGCTTGGTCGTCGAGGTGTAAAAGCAGTTGCAAAAGGCCTTCCCCTCGCTCCGCCCTTCTGTGTCCTGCACATTCTGCTATGCCTCGTTATCACTGGAGCATGCTGCAGCCGCGCTGCGACCCTTCCTCCCTTATTGCTATCTTAGCGGAGTGTGTACGATCCGTAAGTAGTGGAGACCAGTTCTACATTACTATTTTTCGCAGGTTTCATTTAACTAGCTGCCGTCTTAATTGTTAATACTGAAACCACTCAACGGTTAGATGAGGAGAAGCGTTGTGATTTGAGTACAATTTACCATACGCGTATCTCCGCTTAGCGAAGCGCTCTTTGCCTGGTCGTGCCCACGCTGATCCGCGCATCGGCTCGCTCGAAGGCTTCTTTCGTGAGTGCCGCTTCGGCGATCTCGTTCACACACGCATGCGACAATGCGCCGCGTTACACAGACGACAGGGTGATTCATGCTAATTTAGATCGGTCGGGAGATATATTAAGATCCCCATATAGACGGCGCGGGCCGCTGCGATGGCTGCAGAAGGCGATGCATCGCCGCGTCAGCCGCCACATGTGAATGGGTCGGGACGAAACGGGTCAGAGGGGAGCGGATCCGCGGAAGAGGCGCCACTCGATTCGCAGGCGTTAGAGCGGGAAGAGAAGCAAGTGTCGGGTGACAAAGCGGACACGCAAGGTTCAGGGGAAGCCGTGAAGGCAGCAGAGCGGGCAGAGCGGGGAGCAGGTGACGCTGCAGTGCGGACGGACAGTCACGGCCAGCGGCCGACGGAGGCTGCTGCTGCTGGAGCTGGCGATGCGCACGCGGCTTCTGAGTCGCCCCGAAAGGCCGCTGCTGGCGATGCTCAGGCAGCAATCGAGTCGCCTCGAAAGTCCGGTAGTGCTTTCGCTGGCGCTGGTCAGGCGGTGCCTCGTGGCGGCGACGCCACGGTCATTGCTGAAGCAGACGGTGCGGCGGGCGGCCAGGGGATTACCGCCGATGCTGTCATGTCGCAGGTGAGCAGCCGTCGCAAGTGAGCAGCCGTCGCAGGTGAGCAGCCGTCGCAGGCGAGCAGCCGTCGCAGGTGGGCAGCCGTCGCAGGTGAGCAGCCGTCGCAGGTGAGCAGCCGTTGCAGGTGAGCAGCCGTCGCAGGCGAGCAGCCGTCGCAGGCGAGCAGCCGTCGCAGGCGAGCAGCCGTCGCAGGCGAGCAGCCGTCGCAGGCGAGCAGCCGTCGCAGGCGAGCAGCCGTCGCAGGCGAGCAGCCGTCGCAGGTCGCCAAGCCCCCGTCGTAGCTCCCAATCTGCCCCGCTAACACTCCAAGCAGTCTTTTTTTAGTTGCCTTTGATTTTGTCAAAAGCATGCTGTGAACTTCACTGCTTCCTATTGTGCTGTAATGCAGTGTACTGCACTTTACAGCACCGTACCGTACCTTACCATACCGCACTGCACTGCTACCTCGCTCGCAAGTGAAGGCTGCTCCGATCCAGAATCGCATCCTGTGGGCTGCCGCATACCCCCGGTGCGCACCCCTCTGCAACTTTCCTGCCCATTTCTCTCTGCATTTCGCCTCCCCTCCTGGCGAAATTTCCCCTCCCCTTCCCCCTCCCCCTCCCTCCCCCCCCCCCGGCGGTGCCCGCCTCCCCCAGCTGGCGGACATGCGGGGCATGATAGCGCGCCTCAGCCGCGAGAACGAGTCTCTGCGCGCCATAGTGGCGCTGCAGCTCTCCCCGCATGGGGGAAACGGCCCCTCCGCGCATGGGGGGAACGCCCCCTCCGCGCATGCGGGGAACGGCCCCTCCGCGCATGGGGGGAACGGCCCTTCCGCGCATGACAAGAACGCCCCCGTTGCGAGACAAGAGAATGCGGGAAAGGGGGGAGCAAGTGGCGAACACAGCGGGCGTGCAACGGCGGCCGCGGGTGGAGGGGAGGGCGAGAGGGCAGGGGGTGGCGGAACGAGCGCAGATAAAATCGCAGCAATGGCAACGGCGGGGGCGGGGGGGCTTAGTGCAGACGTGCTGGCGCGGATGATGGGCGCAGGTGCAGGGGGGGCGGGCGAGGAGGGCGCGGAGTGGGTGCGCGCACAGCAGATGCAGATGCTGGCGCTGCTGCCCTACCACGCCGCTGCTGCCCAGGTGAGCGCCGGGCGAGATAAAGGTGGGATGGGAGGGATGGGCGACGAGGAGGTGATGGGGAGGTGATGGGGAGGTGATGGGGAGGTGGTGGGGAGGTGGTGGGGAGGTGGTGGGGAGGTGATGGGGAGGTGGTGGGGAGGTGATGAGGAGGTGGTGGGGAGGTGATGAGGAGGTGATGGGGAGGTGGTGGGGAGGTGGTGGGGAGGTGATGGGGAGGTGGTGGGGAGGTGGTGGGGAGGTGATGAGGAGGTGGTGGGGAGGTGATGAGGAGGTGGTGGGGAGGTGATGAGGAGGTGGTGGGGAGGTGATGAGGAGGTGGTGGGGAGGTGATGAGGAGGTGGTGGGGAGGTGATGAGGAGGTGTTGTTGGAGTTGTGGTTTCCGAGCACGGCCTTTCACACCCCCTCCCTCCGCTTTCGCCCCCATCATGTGCTGCTGCCCGTCGCCCCTTTCCTTTCTCCCTCGTCTTGCACAATGCAAACACCGCTGCCCTCCCCTCTTCCCTCCCACTCCCCCCCATCAGGCCATGTCTCGCTGGTCCGCCCTCTTCCCCGCCCTCCCCAACCCCTTCCCCTTCCCCTCCTTCCCCACTGCGCCACCCTCCTCCTCCGCCACACCACCTGCCGCGCCCATGATGCCTCCGCCCTCCCCACCCCACCCCCACGCACCCATCGGGCCTGACAGGGGCAGCAAGGTGGGGAGGCCCGCCTCCCCCCTGCTGCCAGCGCGCTCCCACACCCCCCCTGCGCCCATGCGCGCGCAGCCCCGCCCGTCCGCCCACACGGCCAGCCAGAGGGGGTCGCTCTCCCCCCCCGACTCCGCCTCCCAGCAGCGCTGCAGCGTGGGCCGTCCGATCCGATCCGTGGGAATGGACCGCAGCGATTCAACGAGCGAGAGGGCGGACGAGGGGCTGCAGCAGCGGCGGCGGCGGCGGCGACGGCGGGGAGGAGATGAGGACGGGGACAGGGAAGGGGAAGCGGAGCAGAGAGGCGGGGGAGAGAGGCAGGTGAGGGACGCGAGGAGGGAAGGGGAGCTGGTAAGTGGGATGGGCAAGGGTAGTGAAGGCGGGGGCGCGGCAGGCGGGGTGGGGGCGAGCAGGATGGTTGGCAGTGCTGCAGTGGGTGGGCGGGGGGGTGGGCGGGGGGGAGAAGGAAGTGAGGAGGATAATCGGGATGAGTGTGCTGTGGAGTCGCGCGTGCTTGGTGCTGAGGGCAGCGCCGGTGCAGGGGAGCAGCAGGGTGAGGGCGTGGGTAGCAGGACGAGGGGCAGTGGGAAGGACGAGCAGGATGGGAATTTGGAAATGGGGGAGGCTGGGCTGGAAAGATTGATGGTTGAGCCAAGGGCGGTGGGAAGAGGAGAGGAGGAGGAGGAGGAGGAGGAGGAGGAGGAGGGCGAGAGTGAGCAGAGCATGGGGGGTGAGAGGGCGTGCAAGAGGCGGCGAGGGGAGGCGAGTAGAGGAGGCGAGGAGTGTGTGCGTGGTGTGGCGAGTGGGGGTGGAGTGGCAGTGGCAGATGCCATGGAGGTGAGTGAAGGGTGCAGAGAGCCGGAGGGAGAGTGGGGGCGGCAGAAGGAGCAGGAGATGGTGGGGGGAGGAGAGGGAGCAGACGAGGCAGGCAGGCAGGGGGGCGGAGAGGGCGGCAGCAGCAGTGGTGGTGTTGGTGCTGGAAACCGTGCCCTGCCAAGACGCCGCCTCTGCACTGCCGCCGCTCCACCCCCTCTCAAGTGCGATGATGGGAGGACGGGGGCAGAGGAGGGCATGAAGGGGGCACAGGAGGAAGTGAAGAGGGAGGCGGGGCGCAGCACAGATGGTGCAGAGGGTGTGCAGCGAGGGGTGGTGGCCCATGGTGCTGATGAGTCCAGGGGAAGCCGTGAGCGCACCTCTGACCCTGCCTCCCCGCCTGCTGCTCTCCCGCCTTCTGCTGCTCATGCCCCTCCTCCTCCTCCCACTGCTGCTTCTGCTGCTGATGCGTCTGCAACACCTGCGTTGCCGACATGCCAGGGTGACGAGCTGGGATCGGGACAGCAAGGTGGGGGAGAGCGCGTGAGCGATGCGCAAAGTGCCGAACCACAGGAGGGGGTGATGCAGGTGCAGCAGGTTGCAGGAGGAGCAGAGACAGCGAGGCCAGCAGGCAGCACAGGCGGAGTGGCAAGGGACGAGCAGGCAGCAGCAGCTGCAGTTGAAGCAGGAAACCGGTTGCAGGCGCAAGCAGGGCCAGGGGAGGAGCAGCAGCAAGGGATGCAAGCACAAGGGATGCAAGCACAAGGGTCGGCTGTGGTTGAACGAGGGGTGCTGGTGTTCCAGCATGAGTCTCAGGCCGATGAGCCTCATGCCCCTCCACCTGCTCTGGCTCTTCAGCTGCAGCCGCAAATTGTATTGCACCCGCAGCAGCAGCAGCAGCAGCAGCAGGAGGAGGAGGAGGAGCAACAGCAGCAACAGCAGCAGCAACAGCAACAGCAACAGCAACAGCAACAGCAGCAGCAACAGCAGCAGCAACAGCAGCAGCAACAGCAACAGCAGCAGCAACAGCAGCAGCAACAGCAGCAGCAACAGCAACAGCAACAGCAATTGCAGCAGCAACAGCAACAGCAATTGCAGCAGCAACAGCAACAGCAATTGCAGCAGCAACAGCAACAGCAATTGCAGCAACAGCAGCAACAACAGCAAGAGCAGCAACAGGTGGCATGGCAGCAGCAGCAGCAAGCCCTTCGCTTCATCCCAGCGCATCTGCCCATCCTGCCAGACACTGCAGCCGCCCGCAAGGCTGCCCGCGTCGCCATCCGCGCTCGCTGCGATGCCGCCACCGTGCGTTTCCTCCTGGCCTCTCTTTCCCCTCCTCTCCCCCCCACTCCTCTCCTCTCCCCTCCTCCCCTCCTCTCCTCTCCTCTCCTCTCCGCTCCTCTCCTCTCTTCTCCTCTCCTCTCCGCTCCTCTCCTCTCTTCTCCTCTCCTCTCCACTCCTCTCCTCTCCTCTCCTCTCTTCTCTCTTCTCCTCTCCTCTCTGCTCGTCTCCACTCCTCTCCACTCCTCTCCTCTCCTCCCCTCTCCTTCTCTCTCCCCTCGCCTCGTGTCCTCTCCTCTCCATTCCTCTCCTCTCCTCTGTTTTCCACCCATCCCCTTACTGTCGTGCTCGATCCTTTCTTTTTTGTCTCAACTTTTCCTGCATCATCCTCCCTCCTCCTCGCAACTCCCCCCTACCCTCCCCCCCCACTCCCCCCCTCAGCTATCGGACGGGGGGCAGTGGCGCAAGTACGGGCAGAAGGTGTCCAAGGGCAACCCGTGTCCGCGCGCCTACTACCGCTGCACGGCCGCCCCGGCATGCCCGGTGCGCAAGCAGGTGCAGCGCTGTGCGGACGACATGGCGTTCCTCATCGTCACCTACGAGGGCACGCACTCACACGCGCTGGCCCCGCACGCCACCGCCATGGCCATGCTCACCTCCTCCGCCTCCGTGGTGTCCTCTGCCGGCGCGCATGCCCCCCTCGCCTCGCCCTCTCTCTTCGCCCCCTCCTCTGCCTCGTCCCCCGCTGCCTTCCCCACCCACCACGCGTTCCCTCCACCACCGTCGCTGATGGGAGCAGCAGGTGGGGCCGGAACACCAGGCAGCACCACTGCCCACACGCCCACCGCTGCAGCTGCAGCGGGTGCATTCCCCATGGACCCGTCTCTGCTGGCGTCGCCGCTTGCCACGCCCACTCTGGCCGGCACGCCCTCGTCGCCCTTTGTGACGGCCACGGCTGCCCTGCCCACCGTCACGCTCGACCTCTCCACCTTCCCCCCCCACCACCTGGCCCAGCTAGGCCTGGGGGTGAGTGCAGGAGGGGGGGGCACAGGGGGTGGGATGGGGGGGGGAATGAGCAATCCTGTGCCTGGCACTGCTGCTGGCGCTGCTCTCACTGGCTCATCACCACCGCTTGCTCTGCCATCCTCCCCACCGGCCCCCTCCGCCCAGGCTCCTGTGCTGACTGCACCACCAGTTGCAGCAGCATCAGCCACACCACCCATGCACCCACCAGCACTGCCATTCACAGCAGCAGCACACACGCCCACAGGTGCTGCTGCTCCCACACCTGCCACCACCCCAAGTAACGCCACCACCACCCCCACTGGCGCCCCCTGGTGGTGGCCTGGCGCCCCTGCCCCCTCCCCTTCCTCCGCCCCGCGTCCCCCCACTGCCCCTCTTGCTGCTCCCTCAGCGCCCACTGCCGCCCCCGCGGGCGCATGCGGTGCTGCGCCGTCGTCTGCAGCGTCCACGCCATCGCCCATCCACGGCCTGCTGCTCCCCACCCCCCTCCCTGCCTCTGCCGCCACTCCCCCTGCATCCACCCCTGCACCCTTCTCCCCGCCCCTGCCTGCTGCTGCTGCTACTCCTCTTGCGCTCCCACCCACTCCGCCCTCTGCCGCTTACCCTGCCTCAAGTGGGCTGGCAGCAGCAGCGGATGAGGCGCCTCCCCTCATCCACATTCCCCGGCGCCGCGTGGTTGGCCACTTCACACCTGAGCGCCCTGCTGCTGCTGCTGCTGGAGGTAGCGGTGCTCCCGCCACCGCTGCTTCTGCTGCTCCTTCTGCTGCCACACCTGCTGCTGCAGCAAACGCATCTCAAGTGGAAGCAGCATCAGCATCAGCCGGGGCAGCCCCAGTAGTGCCTGCAGGGGCAGGCGCAGCAGCAGCGGCAGCAGCAGCAGCAGGGGGCATGGAGGCGGCGCTGGCGTCACCGGCGGTGCAGAGCCGGCTGGTGGCGGAGACAGCGGAGAAGATCACCAGCGACCCCGCCTTCAAGACCGCCCTCGCCACCTACATCGCCTCGCTGCTCTCCACCCAGCTCTCCGCTGCCGCTGCTGCCGGCCCCACCCCCGCCGCCACCCCCACTGCTGCAGCCCCTGCTCCTCCTGCTGCCTATGCGCCCCTGGGTGCTGAGAGCAGTGCGGGAGCGGGCACACCAGTGGCAGGTGGTGGTGCAGCCATCCCGCAGCAGCAGGCAGCAGCATCCGTGCAGCAGCATCAGGCACACCAGCAGCACTCCATGTTTCTCTCGTCGCCCTCGTTTGCCTCGTCGCTCTTCCCCGTCCTCCCTCCCTCCACTGCTGCCGCACATGCCCCTGCCGCCTGGTCCTTCACCCCAACAGCCTCCCACTCTGCCGCGGCACCAGCAGCAGCAAACTCGACTCAAGCCATGCCGGCAGCACAGCACCAAGGTGCTGCAGCGCTGCACCAAGCAGCGGCACCCAGCGGGCTGCTGCTGTCGCCAGGCGCCTCTGCATCGCTGCTGCCCTCCCCCCTCGCCGCTCCCACGACCCCAGCTCCATCCCCCCTTGGCTTCTCGCACCTCTTTCAACCGCCCTCCACCACTCCTCTCGACCTCTTCCCGCAGGTACCACTCGCTTCCATCCCCTGAAAGCCAACCTACTTGAGCCATTTGATTCCTTGTCACTGCTTTTGTTTCGGCACTATCCACCAAATCTTTCCCCTCGCCCCCCCTAGTTCACTGCACGCATACACTGAACCACTGCAACCCCGGTACACCAGTTTCAGTTGCTTGCACTACCGTAATTCGTGGGAGCTGTGGTGTTGTTGCACATGCCCTGTCGTGCTCTGTGTGTCGCCAGGTGGCGGCTGGGAAGGATCCGTCCTGCTCGCCCGGCTTTCACTCCAACACAAACCGATCCTGTTGACAGTTGAAGTAGATCCATCCACCCGATCATGGCGCATCTCTAACAAACTTACCGTAATCCCCTGGCATGGGAGAATTTCTGCAGATTCCAAAAATATGGGTTGGTAGGCTTTTGGCAGACATCTACCGTGCCATTCTGGAATTGCGATACCATCATGTACATCTGAGTTATAGAGGGGAGGGATGGGTCTTATAATTGTACGACACAGTATGCTGCTTCTTGTACACTGAGCATGTGCCTTGAGCCTCTAGTCAAGCAAACCTCTTGTCAGATTCGCATCCACCCACACTGAAACGCATGCAACCGCAGGCGAACACACTGAAACGTTTTTTTTTTTTTTTTTGGAATTGGAGTATACATTAAAGAGGACAATGCATACAGCAATAGCAGTCGTAACTGAGCGTGAGGGCAGGCACCTTGTGCTGCCCAGCGAGACAACTAGGGCGGTTGGAGAGCCCTCTTAGGTCTGTTCCAGATGGCCGCAAAGCTGGCCGACCAGCTCCACTTCCTGTCTCCGACTTTCCTGATCCTCATCAGCATCTTTTGTTCTGCTTCAAAAACCCCCCTAACCTTTTTGAGTTTCCCCAGCTTGCCCGGCCTCACAACTTTCGCCCCAGTCACTCTCGTGTACACCCTTGCGTGCAGCCGGAAAGCCGTCCCGATTCTCCTGAGCACCCGCCGGGCTCTGAATTTTTGCCCACGGAAGCTCGCCTCGCAGCGTTCCACCCACAACTGGTGGAAGGTGATGGCCGTTAGTGTAGCCTCTGGGAAGTCTGACGTGGTACCAGTTTCCTGGAACAGTAGATCACCGAGCGAGGCAGATGTCCTTGTGGGGTTGAGCATGCGCAGAGCACGCCGGAGACCAGAAACCACAGGCTGAATCACCGGGCAGCTAAAAAGGCAGTGATCCTGTGTCTCAACCTCTCCACAGTACGGGCACTTCGGCTTACTGCTGAGAAAATCCACCCTCTCCCCAACTTGAAGGTTGTGGTTGTGTATACGCGTAAGGACATCACGCGGTCGGTTCGGGATGGCAAGCGAGTTTCTGGTGTGGATGATTCGGTCCCAGTCTATCTTGCCGCTCCACTTGCCGGTCCACTTCTCCTGCTTCGTGGAGACCGCGTCTGGCACAGCCCACGATTCCCTCAGCTGCTTCAGGGATGACAGCTGCCCGTTCGTGAAAATCCCCGAACGAAAAATTGTAGCTGCTGCATGTTCCCCACCGCCGCTGTTCCCAGACGAGTTTTGCACCCCAGATCCAGCCCCCTCTCCGCTGGCATCCGGGATGAGCACTTCCTTCCATTCCTGCGGGGCTGCATCAAGTGCCTTGAGAGCGAACACACTGAAACATATCTAACCACGCGAAGCTGGCAAGAAGTTCGTCTGACAAGGCGCTGTAGGAACATTGCCTGACAGAGGGAATCCAATATTGCCTTGCCACCAGGGCCCTTGCTAGGATTCTGACACTAGGCAACATATGCAGGATATACGCATCACAAACGTTTGTGCCGCTTTCTCAATGGACATGTCCGGGCCAAAATGTGCCGTTAGGGTTGCTAAGCTAACATGTTTATTGCGAGGCTTGCTTGCATGCCTAATGCATCAGCGTCCTGCTCTCCAGCCCATCTCTTCAAAGGGTCCAAGCGAACGGGCTTCCGGAGCAGGCAGCTAATGTCGTACACTTTCACAGCGGGCTGCCAACAGCGCGCACTTCACAGCCAGCAGGCAGACGCCACATTGGAACAGCGGAATCCCTTGACCTAGAACAACCAGCCCGTCCTGGTGGGAGGGTCGGGGCGCAGGGGCTTCTGGAGCAGGTAGTTGAGGTACATGTGAGCGCCGACGCGCTCCCCCAGGTCGGGCTTGGGCAGCACGTGTGTACAGGCGCTTGTACCCCAGCGCCCTGATCAGCGCTGCGTACACGGGCATCTCGTCCATCGGCGCGTAGAACATCTCAAACCACAGCACCCCTCCTGCCAGGCACATGCACACACGTGCGGGGGGAATGGGAGGGGCCGGTGGCATGGAAGGGATGGGAGGGTTAGGATGAGTGAGGTGGATGCAGCGTGTTGGAAGAGTGGTGGCGATGAGTTAGGGGCAGTGTGATGTGAGGTAGGGATGCGCAGGGCTGGTCCATAGCCGCCCCGACCTGGGACAGCCGGTCTTGAGGACGAGCTAGGCCGGCCTCTTCAGATTTTCGGTACGGTTTGTGCCAGTCTGAAAAGCAATGTAGCTTGAGTTGATGGTCCGTGACAAGATGTGTCTTGGACCGTCGGAGGCAGATGCATTTGATTACATCTGTACGAATACAGCACGCAAAAGTTGTGAGAGTACTGAAAGTCGGTCGTGCCGGGCCAAGGCCGCGACTGGGTACATTAGCCCCACCACTAGCTGGGCCCAACCTGTCTCGTTTCGACAAGCCGTGGCGGGGCTGCTTTGAGATCCGGGCCGCTGTGAAATCGGCCCATCACTAGCTGTCCCTCGGCCTCCTGTGGCTCATGCCGAGTACGCAGTGCTGCTGTGGGGTGGGGGCCCATGGCACGTGCTATAATGAGAACGCAGGGATGGAAATACGCGGAGACAAGAGGTGTGATGGCAGGCAAGGTGTGATGGCAGGCAAGGTGTGATGGCAGGCAAGGTGTGATGGCAGGCAAGGTGTATGGCAGGCAAGGAGAATGGCAGGCAAGGTGTGATGGCAGGCAAGTGTGATGGCAGGCAAGGAGAATGGCAGGCAAGGTGTATGGCAGGGAAGCAGGGCTAGTGCAGATGGTGGGTGAGAGATAAGGTAGCAGAGTAAGGACAGGGGAAGATATGCACGTGCAGCAAGCACAATGCAGCAACCTTCGAGTGCGTGACACGAGCGAAAGCAGGGGCAGCAGGGAGCAGGGCAGGGAGCACGCACCGACTCGGAGCACGCGGTCCCAGTCGTAGAGCAGCTCCTCAAACTCCTGGATGGGCAGGTACTTAATGCTGTTCACACAGTGCACCATGTCCAACATGCCGTCCATAAACGGCAGCCGTCGCTGTAGGGGTTGGTCAGGGGGGAGGGAACAGCGAGAGGGAGGGGCGATGGGGAAAAGATGGGGGAACGGACGAAGGGAAGATGAGAAGGTGAGTGGAGGAGAAGCGAATGCGCATTGGAGATTGATTGAAGGGATATGAGGACTACAATGGTGGAGTCTTAACAATAGTTCAAGAAGCATTTTAATGCTCTACAGCAGAAATCTACACCTGACCTTACAGCCCACCTATTTGCCCAGCACTCTACTCCCAACTCCCTACTACCCTTCACCCCTCACCCTACTCCGTACACCCCATAACCCCCACCACCCATGCGATACCCATCACCGCACACCTCACAACAACCCGCACCCCCCACCTCACACCCCGCACCTCCCACCTCACACCCCGCATCCCCCACCTCACATCCCGCATCCCCTACCGTACACCCGCACTCAGCGCACACCCCACACACCCTGCCACCCCCGGGGCCATCTTGTGGGGGACGTGCAGCGAGATGAGGCCGCGCAGGGCGATGGTCTCCATGTACGGCAGGCCCTGGCGGCGGCCGGTGACGGTCTCGATGTTCATGGCGGTGGTCATCACCGTCACGTTGTACCGCGCCATGTGCGCCGCAAAGCTGCCCGTGCCGCCGCCCGCGTCCAGCCTGATCCTGCTTGTGATGCGGTAGTGGTACGCACAGTGTTGGTACGCACGGTGGTGGTGCGAGCGGAGGTGGTGCGAGCGGTGGTGGTGCGAGCGGTGGTGGTGCGAGCGGGGTGTGTGTGGTGGGAGGGAACGGGTGGTTATGTTGCTGTGGGTGTGCGGAAGAAAGGCAAGGGTGAGCAATGCAAAGATCTACAGAGGGCATGAGGTCCTGCTGGCTGGTGCAGAGGAACATCATCACAGCACCACGCATCACGCCCACCTGAGCGACCCCTTCATCACGCCCACCTGAGGGTCCCGTTCATCATGTTGATGACCTCCTTGATGGACAGCGAGCCGCGGAAGTGGCGGTGCCAGCGGTTGCGCTCGATGGTCATGTTGTAGCACAGGCGCCAGTCGCCGATGAGACGCGCATTAAGGCAGGCGAAGGACTTGCAGTGGTGCAGCGCCTACTGCACTGCCCCGTCCTTGAGTGCGCCCTGGCTGAAGAGCGACTCCTGGAATGGCGTGGGCTGCCGAGGGGGAGAGGGGAGGGGGTGGGGAGGAGGGAGAGGGGGACGTGTGGGTTGTGGGAGGAGGGATGGAGATGACTGGAAATGACCCGCCCTCGCTTGGGCGTAGCCAACTTCATAGTTGGGTGCGCGGGAGCTGCAGCCGGCTGCTGTCAGTGGTCGACGCCGACTTGGGAGAGGATGTCGACAAACTTGGTCGACTTCCGCGGCACTATTGTCAAGCCGCTGACGAAGGTGTTCGTCAACCGGGCGCCGGGGAATTACCTGGTCAACGAAGTTCTGCGAGGGTTCGCGGACGTTGCCCAGGAAGATTTGGCGAAGTGGACCTGTGGGCTGGTATCACGAGGTTGACATGGCACATCTGACGCAACCGTCGGCATGTAACCAACTTGGCACCTGCACAACGTGCGCGACCGTTGCACATGCGCTTACAATCACATGCGGTTGCGACGCTGGCAAGCCGCCTTGCTGTAGCGTTGGCAAGCTGTCCTGGTGCGACGCTGGCACGCCGCCGACTTGCAACGTTGGCAAGACGCATCCCAGCTGTGTTGGCAGAGTGTCGACTTGCAGTGCTGGCAAGCCGCCCTCGCGCTGCGCCGGAGGTCGACCTGCCTGTGTGCTAAGCTGCTGGGCACTAATGTCGTCCCTTGTTGCCATTGCTATTATATCATTGTGTAATCCCTTCGCTAGTACAAATCTTGCCAAGTTTCTCCGTGAATGCGCAAGTAGAAAGAACACGAGCAAACACTACGATCACGCGTACCACCCGTGCCTTCCCGCGTAGTCCAGCTCCCGGTGTATAGTGACTCTCCGCAGATGGGAAGGGATTGGAAGAGGTTTGTGGAAATGTTTAGGATTATGGTGGGGGGTTGGTAGAGAGTGGGGAATGGAAAGGGCGAGGAGGAGCAAGAGAGGTATGAGAAATGAGAGATGTGGGATGTTGAATGGAGAACCGAGTCAAGATTTTATAGAAAATGCTCATGCACATTAGCATACACCCTTCTCAATTTCCGTCCTTCCACTCCTTACCCCCCATTCTCCGCCCCCTCCCCTTTCTCTCAACTCTCCCATGCCGCTTCCCACCTTCCCATTATCCGATTCGCTTCCCTCCCTGCCACCCTCACTCCCTCCTTCATTCCAACCCCGCCCCCCTTCCCCCCCCCGCACCCTCCCTTTCCCCCCACGAGCTGCTGTGAGGTGCGGGTGAGGCAGCGGCGCGTGGGCAGAGCAAAGCAGTTGTTGGCGAAGAGCAGGTCCTGCGTGTGGAACCAGTCGTCGGGGCACAGCTGCTGCGCCTCAAAGTCCAGATAGCGCCGCATCTCCTCCTCTGACGCGTTGCATGCATACGCCTGCGAGGCGCCAAGGGGAGGGGGGAGACGAGGAGGGAGGAAAAGGGGGACGAGTGATAGGACATGAGAAGGGAGTGACATGACATGCATTCTAGCCCAGATAGAGAATCGAGTCGGCCATGAGGACACATGCGACGAACTCCTCTCGGCTCCTAGTCTCCCCCACCCCAACCTCTTTCCCCCATCCCTTTCCCCCCACCCTTTCCCCCTTCCCCGTCCGAATTACCCAGCAGCTTGTCCTCTTTCTCCCCAGGGAGTGGAGGGTGGTACGGGAAACGGGGGAGGAGGGTGTGAGAGGTGGGGCGCACATGAGGGAAGGGAGGGGGAACGAGTGCTAGGAAAAGGGTAGAAAGAGAGTATGGATGGATGAGAGGAAACCGGGACGGAATGTCGACATGTGCTTTGAGAGGTGTGGATAACCTCCGATGTGCACTCCGGCACACGGCAACGCGGCACGCGACACGTTGCAGAGGAGAGAAGGGCGGGGCAGAATCCGAGTTGACTCAAAGCAGAAAATGCTTGAAGGGTGAGGAGTGGAAGTTAGGCGGAAGTAGAGGCGGGAAAGGGCGGATGGAAGGGGAAAGGCGAATTGAGGAAGGGTGGAGCGGAGGTAAGAATACTGTGCGAAGAATGGGGATGTGAGGAAGTGGGTAGCGTGACTTACCATGGCAGCACACCTTGCCATGGCAGCACACCTTGCCATGGCAGCACACCTTGCCATGGCAGCACGTGAAGCACACTGGGACAAGTAACCATTTCCATGCCATGCCATCCTGTACTGTGTCATCCCATGCCACGCCATGCCTACGCCATGCCACGCCATCCCATCCCATCCCATCCTATGCAGTGCAATCCGAGTGCCACACAGCAAGCACTCAGAATTTTGGAGGACGCTCATTGATGGCAATTGATTCAAGTACCGTGCATGCCCGTACCTCACCCTGCTCCCACACTGTAAATGCCTATAACCATGCATGCCCCTTCAGTCTCTCTGAGTGTCCATCCAGCCGCCCATCTCGCAGCCCCTATCCGCCATATGTCCGTGTGTCTGCCTGTGTGTCCGCCTGTGTGTCCGCCTGTGTGTCCGCCTGTGTGTCCGCCTGTGTGTCTGCCTGTGTGTCCGCCTGTGTGTCCGCCTGTGTGTCCGCCTGTGTGTCCGCCTGTGTGTCCGCCTGTGTGTCCGGCTGTGTGTCCGGCTGTGTGTCCGCCTGCGTGTCCGCCTGTGTGTCCGCCTGTGGGTCCGCCTGTGTGTCCGCCTGTGTGTCCGGCTGTGTGTCCGCCTGTGTGTCCGCCTGTGTGTCCGGCTGTGTGCCCGCCTGTGTGTCCGCCTGTGTGTCCGCCTGTGTGTCCGCCTGTGTGTCCGCCTGTGTGTCCGCCTGTGTGTCCGCCTGTGTGTCCGGCTGTGTGTCCGGCTGTGTGTCCGCCTGTGTGTCCGCCTGAGAGTCCGCCTGCGTGTCCGGCTGTGTGTCCGGCTGTGTGTCCGGCTGTGTGTCTGGCTGTGTGTCCGCCTGTGTGTCCGCCTGTGTGTCCGCCTGTGTGTCCGCCTGTGTGTCCGCCTGTGTGTCCGGCTGTGTGTCCGCCTGTGTGTCCGCCTCTGTGTCCGCCTGTGTGTCCGCCTGTGTGTCCGCCTGTGTGTCCGCCTGTGTGTCCGCCTGTGTGTCCGCCTGTGTGTCCGCCTGTGTGTCCGCCTGTGTGTCCGCCTGTGTGTCCGGCTGTGTGTCCGGCTGTGTGTCCGCCTGTGTGTTCGCCTGTGTGTCCGCCTGTGTGTCCGCCTGTGTGTCCGCCTGTGTGTCCGCCTGTGTGTCCGCCTGTGTGTCCGCCTGTGTGTCCGCCTGTGTGTCCGCCTGTGTGTCCGCCTGTGTGTCCGCCTGTGTGTCCGCCTGTGTGTCCGCCTGTGTGTCCGCCTGTGTGTCCGCCTGTGTGTCCGCCTGTGTGTCCGCCTGTGTGTCCGCCTGTGTGTCCGCCTGTGTGTCCGCCTGTGTGTCCGGCTGTGTGTCCGCTGTGTGTCCGCCTGTGTGTCGCCTGTGTGTCCGCCTGTGTGTCCGCCTGTGTGTCCGCCTGTGTGTCCGCCTGTGTGTCCGCCTGTGTGTCCGCCTGTGTGTCCGCCTGTGTGTCCGCCTATGTGTCCGCCTGTGTGTCCGCCTGTGTGTCCGGCTGTGTGTCCGCCTGTGTGTCCGGCTGTGTGTCCGCCTGTGTGTCCGCCTGTGTGTCCGCTTGTGTGTCCGCCTGTGTGTCCAGCTGTGTGTCCGCCTGTGTGTCCGCCTGTGTGTCCGCCTGTGTGTCCGGCTGTGTGTCCGCCTGTGTGTCCGGCTGTGTGTCCGCCTGTGTGTCCGCCTGTGTGTCCGGCTGTGTGTTCGGCTGTGTGTCCGCCTGTGTGTCCGCCTGTGTGTCCGGCTGTGTGTCCGCCTGTGTGTCCGCCTGTGTGTCCGCCTGTGTGTCCGCCTGTGTGTCCGCCTGTGTGTCCGGCTGTGTGTCCGCCTGTGTGTCCGGCTGTGTGTCCGGCTGTGTGTCCGGCTGTGTGTCCGCCTGTGTGTCCGCCTGTGTGTCCGCCTGTGTGTCCGGCTGTGTGCCCGCCTGTGTGTCCGCCTGTGTGTCCGGCTCTGTGTCCGCCTGTGTGTCCGCCTGTGTGTCCGGCTGTGTGTCCGCCTGTGTGTCCGCCTGTGTGTCCGCCTGTGTGTCTGCCTGTGTGTCCGCCTGTGTGTCCGCCTGTGTGTCCGCCTGTGTGTCCGCCTGTGTGTCCGGCTGTGTGTCCGGCTGTGTGTCCGACTGTGTGTCCGCATGTGTGTCCGCGTGTGTGTCCGCCTGTGTGTCCCGCTGTGTGTCCGCCTGTGTGTCCGGCTGTGTGTCCGCCTGTGTGTCCGCCTGTGTGTCCGCCTGTGAGTCCGCCTGTGTGTCCGCCTGTGTGTCCGCCTGTGTGTCCGCCTGTGTGTCCGCCTGTGTGTCCGCCTGTGTGTCCGCCTGTGTGTCCCTGTGTCCGCCTGTGTGTCCGCCTGTGTGTCCGCCTGTGTGTCCGCCTGTGTGTCCGCCTGTGTGTCCGCCTGTGTGTCCGGCTGTGTGTCCGCCTGTGTGTCCGCCTGTGTGTCCGGCTGTGTGTCCGCCTGTGTGTCCGCCTGTGTGTCCGCCTGTGTGTCCGCCTGTGTGTCCGCCTGTGTGTCTGCCTGTGTGTCCGCCTGTGTGTCCGCCTGTGTGTCCGCCTGTGTGTCCGCCTGTGTGTCCGCCTGTGTGTCCGCCTCTGTGTCCGCCTGTGTGTCCGCCTGTGTGTCCGCCTGTGTGTCCGCCTGTGTGTCCGCCTGTGTGTCCGCCTGTGTGTCCGCCTGTGTGTCCGCCTGTGTATCCGCCTGTGTGTCCGCCTGTGTGTCCGCCTGTGTGTCCGCCTCTGTGTCCGCCTGTGTGTCCGCCTGTGTGTCCGGCTGTGTGTCCGCCTGTGTGTCCGGCTGTGTGTCCGCCTATGTGTCCGCTTGTGTGTCCGCCTGTGTGTCCGCCTGTGTGTCCGCCTGTGTGTCCGCCTGTGTGTCCGCCTGTGTGTCCGGCTGTGTGTCCGGCTGTGTGTCCGCCTCTGTGTCCGCCTCTGTGTCCGCCTCTGTGTCCGCCTGTGTGTCCGCCTGTGTGTCCGCCTGTGTGTCCGCCTGTGTGTCCGCCTGTGTGTCCGCCTGTGTGTCCGCCTGTGTGTCCGGCTGTGTGTCCGGCTGTGTGTCCGCCTGTGTGTCCGCCTGTGTGTCCGCCTGTGTGTCCGCCTGTGTGTCCGCCTGTGTGTCCGCCTGTGTGTCCGCCTGTGTGTCCGGCTGTGTGTCCGGCTGTGTGTCCGCCTGTGTGTCCGCCTGTGTGTCCGCCTGTGTGTCCGCCTGTGTGTCCGCCTGTGTGTCCGCCTGTGTGTCCGCCTGTGTGTCCGCCTGTGTGTCCGCCTGTGTGTCCGCCTGTGTGTCCGCCTGTGTGTCCGGCTGTGTGTCCGGCTGTGTGTCCGGCCTGTGTGTCCCTGTCCGCCTGTGTGTCCGCCTGTGTGTCCGCCTGTGTGTCCGCCTGTGTGTCCGCCTGTGTGTCCGCCTGTGTGTCCGCCTGTGTGTCCGCCTGTGTGTCCGCCTGTGTGTCCGCCTGTGTGTCCGGCTGTGTGTCCGGCTGTGTGTCCGGCTGTGTGTCCGCTTGTGTGTCCGCCTGTGTGTCCGCTTGTGTGTCCGCCTGTGTGTCCAGCTGTGTGTCCGCCTGTGTGTCCGCCTGTGTGTCCGCCTGTGTGTCCGGCTGTGTGTCCGCCTGTGTGTCCGGCTGTGTGTCCGCCTGTGTGTCCGCCTGTGTGTCCGGCTGTGTGTTCGGCTGTGTGTCCGCCTGTGTGTCCGCCTGTGTGTCCGGCTGTGTGTCCGCCTGTGTGTCCGCCTGTGTGTCCGCCTGTGTGTCCGCCTGTGTGTCCGCCTGTGTGTCCGGCTGTGTGTCCGCCTGTGTGTCCGCCTGTGTGTCCGCCTGTGTGTCCGCCTGTGTGTCCGCCTCTGTGTCCGCCTGTGTGTATCCACTTTCCTACTTGTATCCACCTTCTTGCTAGTTCATTCATTCCTCATGTCTTCACATGGTATAGAGCAGGTCCCTAGTGGGAACTGTTCCTAGGGCCCACCACTGAAAATCGATTAAACTTTTTTTCTGCCCAGACAGCGAGTCGCTCCTGACCGAGGCGCGCCATGTGTGCCGTCCTCCCCTTAGCGGCCCGTCGCGCCCTCTCACGGCCCCTCTCGCGGCCCCGTCGCCGCCCTTCACGGCCCCTCGCCGCCCCACCCTTCGCGGCCCCGTCGCCGCCCTCAGCGGCCCCGTCGCCGCCCCCAGCGGCCCCTTCGCCGCCCGTAGCGGCCCCGTCGCCGCCCTCAGCGGCCCCGTCGCCGCCCTTGTGGCCCCGCCGCTGCTCTTGCGGCCCCGTCGCCGCTCTCTCGTGGCCCCGTCGCCGCCCTCTCACGGCCCCGTCGCCGCCCTCTCGCGGCCCCGTCGCCGCCCTCTAGCGGCCCCGTCGCCGCCCTCAGCGGCCCCGTCGCCGCCCGCAGCGGCCCCGTCGCCGCCCTTGCGGCCCCGTCGCCGCCCCTAGCGGCCCCGTCGCCGCCCCTATCGGCCCCGTCGCCGCCCCTATCGGCCCCGTCGCCGCCTCCAGCGGCCCCGTCGCCGCTCCTAGCGACCCCGTCGCCGCCCCTAGCGGCCCCGTCGACGCCCTTCGAGGCCCCTCGCGGCCCCTTTGCGGCCCCGTAGCCCCCCCTAGCGGCCCCGTCGCCGCCCGTATCGGCCCCGTCGCCGCTCCTAGCGGCCCCGTCGCCGCCCCTGTCGGCCCCGTCGCCGCCCCTAGCGGCCCCGTCACCGCCCTTCACGGCCCCTTCAGCTGCCAAGCGGCCGAACCACCGAGCCGCCGAGCTGCCCAGCCGCCGAGCCGCCCAGCAGTCGCGCCGCCCGGCAGCCGAGTCGCCCAGCAGCCAAGCCGCCAAGCAGCCGAGCCGGCCAACAGCCGAGCCGCCCAGCAGCCGAGCCGCCCAACTGCCGAGCCGCCCAGCAGCCGAGCCGCCCAGCAGCCGAGCCGCCCAGCAGCCGAGCCGCCCAGCAACCGAGCCGCCCAGCTGCCGAGCCGCCGAGCCGCCGTCGAGCCGCTACTGTTCCTACCGGCGCGCACCGGCCCTTCCCACCCGGACTGGTGAGAGCACTACCTTTTAGACCACTGCTGTCATGGCTACCCCCAGTGTCCTTACCTTTGATGCTGAGGGTCGTGCTGTTGACTTTGAGGTCTGGGTCGATGACTTCCAGCTCTTCCTACAATGCGATAGGGCAGACAGACTCTCCTTGTTTGATCTCACCTCTGGTGCCTCTCCTGCCCCGCCTGCTACTGCTGACAGCACTATTCGCTCACAGTGGGCCACACGCGATGCTGCTGCTCGTCTTGCTGTGCGTCGCCACTTACCGACCGCTGAGCGTGCGCACTTTAGTCTGTACAAGAGTGCTAAGACCTTGTACGACGTTGTAGTTGCACGCTACTCTTCCCCTGCCACTGCTGCTCTTAGCCGCCTCATGCTGCCGTACCTGTTCCCTGACCTTGCTGCCTTTCCCACAGTCACTGACCTCATTACGCACCTTCGCACTAGTGACACTCGCTACCGCGCTGCGCTTCCTGCTGAGTTCTGTGCCAAGAACCCTCCCCCCATGTACATCACCCTCTACTACATAGTCACCCGACTCCCTGACTCCCTTCGCTTAGTCTGGGACCACTTCCTCTCAGTTTGCCCCACCACACTCACCGTTGACCTCCTCGAGGAGCGCCTCCTGGCAGCAGAGAAGAGCATAGTCGCTGTAGGAGCCTCTCGTGGTGACCCTCGTACCCCCGTCTTTGAGGGGTGTTCCCCCTCCCCCCTCTTGCCCTCTGTTGCTTCTGCTACTGCGGCCGACCTCGTTGGTTTCGAGTCGGTCGGCGCTGCGTCTGCCCCTAGCGGGAGACGCCGCAAAGGCAAGGGCAAGGGGGGCAAGGGCGATGGAGGGGCTGGCGGGGGCGGAGAAGGTGGCGGTGGAGGCAGTGGAGGGGGTGGGGGTGGTGGTGGGAGTGGTGGCGGGGGTGGAGGTGTCGGTGGCAGCAGTGGAGGCAGAGGAGGCGACGGCGGTGGCGGTGGGAGCGGAGGCGGCGGAGGTGGCGGAGGCGGCGGCGGTGGCGGCGGCGGCGGTGGAGATGGTCGCAGCTCTGCACAGCAAAGTGGCTCCGGTGGTGGTCAGCGCCAGCAGCAGCAGCGCACTCGTGAGACCCCGTCCCCCCAGCAACTTCGTGAGTAGTACGCTGGGCGTCAGCGAGGTGGGGGTACTGGTCCCTGTACCTACGTCCTCCATACCGGCGACCGCGCTGGTGAGCAGTGCGGGGGCTTGCACTCCACCCAGCGGTGCTTCGGCCGCCTGACGACCGCTTGGCGTCACCAGTTCCCTGACGCCACTGAGATCCCCCACTGGGGAGAGCTGTCTAGGGCGGGGATTGCTATCTTTGATCTTTACTATGATGCTATTCTTGCTGCCATGTATGCTGTGTCTACTAGTGATGAGGGTGACTGTTACCTGTGTGTTCCGCCTGACCCGGGCATTGAGGCTGCTGCTCTAGGTGCTGGTGAGGCTGCTGCTCTAGGTGCTAGTGCGTCTGCTGCCCCAGGTGCTGGTGAGTCTGCTCTCTCAGGTACCACGTCGGCTCAGGCCTTACACACCTTCACCCTTGACTCGGGTGCTTCCCGCTCCTTCTTTCGAGACCGCACCACGCTTACACCGCTTAGTCCTCTACGGGAAGCACCCTTGACTTCACACGGGTGAAGGTGTGTAAGGCCTGAGCCGACGCGGTCTCCCTGGCGGACCCCTCTGGGGGTCCTGTCCTTGCTAGCTTCTCCACTGTCTTACCGTGTCCGGCAGCCCCCTCTGGCACCCTGTCAGGTCTCTACCTCCCCTCGTTCTCTACGAACTTGGTGAGTGGTGCTGATCTCCAAGATCGGGGGGTTGACCAGTTCACTCCTGCGAGTCAGCGGGTGACCCACTGTACGTGTGCTCGGACGGGCCCACACTTGGCCACGTTTAACCGTTGGCCGGGGTCGAGCCTGTACACACTGACTACTCAGTCTCCTCCGGTTGCTGCGTCTGGTCAGATAGCTGCGTCGAGTCCGGTGTCTGGTGCAGCGTCCAGGTCTGGTCCTGAGTCTGCTCCCTGCTCGTGTCGTCCCCTATCCCACCAGACTCTCCTTTGGCACCACCGCCTTGGCCACCCCTCCCTGCCTCGTCTCCGAGGCATGGCCTCCCGTGTCCTTGTCTCTGGTCTCCCCCGGTCCCTCCCTCCCCTTCCTCCAGGGCCTGCCCCTACCTGCGTTCCCTGCGTCGAGGGGCGGCAGCGCGCCGCCCCTCACTCCTCCGAGTTTCCTCCGACAGAGGCTCCCCTGCAGACTCTTCAGATGGACGTGTGGGGCCCCGCCCGCGTCCGTGGCCAAGGTCACGAGCGTTACTTCCTGTTGGTGGTTGACGACTACTCGCGTTACACCATGGTGTTGCCCTTGCGCAGCAAGGGTGACGTCACTGAGGTGTTGATCGACTGGATCCGCGCAGCTCGTCTCCAGCTCAGAGAGAGTTTCGGCTCGGACTTTCCTGTTCTGCGTCTGCACTCTGCCAGAGGTGGGGAGTTTTCCTCTGCCCGTCTGGGAGCATTCTATCGTGCACAGGGCATCCGCCAGACCTTCACGCTTCCGGCCTCTCCACAGCAAAATGGGATTGCTGAGCGCCGCATTGGCATGGTCATGGACGTCGCTCGTATGTCCATGATCCATGCGGCTGCCCCCCATTTTCTGTGGCCGTTTTCGGTTCGGTACGCAGCGCATCAGCTCAACCTTCAGCCCCGGGTCTCCTTGCCAGAGACCTCCCCCACCTTGCGGTGGACGGGGAAGGTTGGCGATGCGTCTGCGTTTCGGGTCTGGGGATCTCGGGCGTTTTTCCGCGACCTGTCTGCGGACAAGCTGTCCCCCCGTACTGTTCCCTGCGTCTTCATTGGCTTCCCCCCTGACGCGCCTGGTTGGCAGTTTTACCACCCCACCTCGCGCCATGTTCTGTCCTCCGAGGACGTCACCTTTGACGAGTCGGTGCCTTACTACCGTCTCTTCCCCTACCGCACTGCGCCCCTCCCCCCGCCGCCGCTCTTCCTTGCGCCAGGTCCTCCCCCGGTAGACCCTCTCCCCCTTCAGGGTCCTGCCCCGTCAGGTGTGTCCCAGGTAGACGCAGTCGAGCCTGTCGAGGTAGCTGTTGACTCTGGTGCTGCTAGGGGTGCTGAGCCTGCGGGTGCCGGGTCTGGGGGTGCAGAGCCTGGGGGGGCAGAGCCTGGGAGTGCTGAGTCTAGGGGTGCTGAGCCTGCGGGTGCCGGGTCTGGGGGTGCGGAGCCCGGGGGTGCGGAGCCTGGGGGTGCTGGGTCTGCTTCGTCGAGGCGGGAGCTACTCTCTCCGCAGGAGCTACGCGAGTGGTTTGCCCGCCGCTAGAGCCGTGCTGCTGGAGCTGGAGGTACTACTGTTGCTGCTGGTCCTGGAGGTGCTCGTACTGGCGGTACTGGAGCTCTGGGACTGGGGGTGCTGCTGGGGCTGCTGGAGTTAGTCCTGCTGGAGGTACTGCTGGAGCTGCTGGCGCTGCTGGAGCTGACGATCCTGCTGGTGTTCGTGCTGCTGGAGCTGCTGGAGCTGGAGCTGCTAGGGGTGTTGGTGCTGGTGGTTCTGCTGGCGCTGGTGCTTCTGCGGGTGCTGAAGTTGGCGCTGTTTGAGCAGGAGGTGCTGCTAGCGCTGGTGCCGCCGCTGGGGGTACTGGTGCTGTCCCTGCTGGTTCTGGAGGCGTTGCGCGGCCGAGGCCGTACTTCGTTCCGCTCGTTGAGCAGGTTCTTGGTCTCCCGCCCTCTACTGGTCCTGCTCCTCCCTTAGAGTGTCCACAGCCTGTCCAATCGCGGTCACAGCTACAGCCCGCCTCCCCACTACCTGCTCCTTCTCACTACACTGGTCCTACTTGAGGTCTTGCTGAGCGTCGTGAGCCTGCGTCTCGTCCTGCGTCGCCTGTTCGTGCTGCTCGCACTAGTGGTCGTGCTCCGCGTCCGCGTCCTCCTGCGGTCCCCGGCACACACCAGATGGCACTGCGTCCTTCCAGTGCTCCTCTGCGTGTCCCTTTGCCGTCTCCTCCAGAGTCCTCTCTTCCTACTCTTGCTGACCCGGAGTCTGACTCTCTTTGTGCTGCCAGTCCTACTGTCACGCGTCTCCTGGCTACTGTTGTCAGTGACCCTTCTTTTGAGTCCACTGCTGCGTCTGCCTTAGTTGCTAAGCTTGTCGACTTTGCTGCTCGCTGTCGTCTAGACTACGCTGCTAGTCTTGTTGTTGAGTCTGAGTCTGTCTGTGAGGATCTAGGATCGAGCTCAGAAAAGAGAATGTCAATTGAATGATCACCGGGGTACAACACGAGGCTATATATAGGCTCGACACAAGGCCCCGTAACCAGGTGTTACGCGAAGGTTCTGCGGGTCGCGAAGCGTCCTGAACAGATCCTTCCCGAATTCGGTAGAAGGCAATTCGGTGGCAACCGAAAAACCAGAATTCGGTGCACGCAACCTAGCTCGGTGCTATAACTATAATAAAATATAGGAAAGCACCTAGCCTAGGAAATCAAGCAATTCATGTATGCATATAATCATCCTATGCTAGAAATAGCACAATAAAGTAAAGGCAAGCAAGCATAGCTGGCACAAGCCGTCGTACTCTCACACGTCCCCCCCTCAAAGCTGGGTGGCGTGAGAAACACCCTGCTTGACAAGATAGTCCTTGAGAGCACGGCGTGCGTTGCCCATATCAGCTTCTGCAACCCAACTGTCCTCAGTGGGGTCGTATCCCTTCCAGCGTATCAGGAACTCGAGGGTTTTGCCGCCGCGGCGCCGATGAGTGAGAACACGCTCCACTTCGTACTCGGGTTCATCCTGTATGAGAACAGGTGGTGGTGGCGGGAGTTGCCGTCCCTGGAACTGTTGGTTGGGGTCCTTGTAGGGCTTCAGTAGCTGGACATGGAAAGCGTTGTGAAGCTTCCATGTATCTGGTAAGCGCAAGCGGAATGTAACTGGTGTCACCTGTGCCTCAACGAGAAAAGGACCACAGAAGCGAGGCCGGAGTTTGGATGGGAGGTGAGACATGTTCAAGTTGCGCGTGTCAAGAAGCACCTAATCTCCGACTGCTACTGAGTGATCACGTCCCTGTCGATCGGCATACTGCTTCTGGGAGGTCTGCATCGTGGTGAGTCGTCGCTGAGTCTTCTCCCGTAATTGCTGCATGGTGGTGACGAAGTCATGTGCGGCTTGGACGTGTGCCGGTGTGGTTGGCTACTGTGGTGTGAGTGGTTCCCGTCCGTAACACAGGAAGAAAGGAGTTTTCCTTGTGGCCGCATGTGATGCGTTGTTATAAGCGAACTCTAGGGCCGGTAACTGTGTGTCCCAGTGGCTGACATCGTCCTTGCAAGCTGTGCGCAGTAACTGTTCAACCACTTGATTGAGTCGCTCTGTCTGTTCGTCAGTCTGGGGGTGGTATGCTGAAGACATTGCAAGCTTTGTCCCCAACAGTCCCATGAGCTCCTTCCAGAACTTACTGGTGAATTTTGGGTCTCTGTCTGAGATGAGTGTAGCGGGGATGCCGTGGATGGTGATGATGCGGTCGAAGAAGAGGCGAGCAGTTGCTTCAGCTGTAGCTGTGGCGTTGGTCGGTATGAAGTGACCCATTTTGGAGAACTTATCGATGACTACGAGGATGGAATCGTGCCCTCGTGAGGTCGAAGGAAGTCGTGTGATAAAGTCGAGGCTAACGACCTGCCATGGCTGCTCCGGTACAGGTAGAGGCTGAAGTAACCCTGCTTTTTTCTGCTTGCTGCTCTTCATCCGCTGGCACGTGTCGCATGAGGTGACAAACTGCTGCACGTCTGCTGCCATCCTGGGCCAGTAGTAATACTTTGCTATCCCTGCTAACGTCTTGTTGCTCCCGAAATGTCCCGCGTAAGGTACGTCGTGAAACTCCTCCAATAGGATCTGCCGTAGCGGGGCGTAATTCGGTACCCAAATCTTTCCTAAACCCTTCCTTACAGCTAAGTCTTTCTCCCACTGTAACAACTTCTTGGTCTGTGCTGTAGCGATTTCTGCGTCCACGGAGTACCCATGTTGGAATAGACCCTTAAGCAGAGGGTTCATCCCGTCGAGCTGGATGCCTGCTACATGTCCGGGGCGGCTCAACGCGTCTGCCTTGTTGTGTGGCCCGGGCTTGTAGACGATGTCGCAGTGGAAGTGAGTTTCCAGGAAATCCACCCACCGCACCTGTCGTCGTGAGAGCGTCGGCTGCGACTTCAGGTATTTGAGACTGCAGTGGTCGGTATAGACTGTAGTATTGGCTCCCTCTAGGTAACACCTCCACGCCTTGAAGGCTATGACTATTGCTAAGGCTTCCTTGTCATGGATGGGGTAGTTCAGTTCTGCTCAGTGTAGCTTCTTACTGAGGTAGGCGATGGGCTGCAAACCGCGTCCGTGATCCTGCATCAGTACTGTTCCGACTGCTTGGTCACTCGCGTCTGCTTCCACCACGTAGTCTTTGTCTGGATCTGGTAGGATGAGTACTGGCGCTGTAGTCAGTGCTGTCTGTAGCTGCTCCATGGCTTGCTGATGAGGCGTATCCCATTTGTAGGGCGTATCCTTTTTCAGTAGGTCGGTCAGTGGTGCTGCTATCTTAGCGTACTGTGGCATGAACCTGTTGTAGTAGTTGGCGAAGCCTAGGAACTGCTGCAAC